ACGTTACCTGACATTTGATTTCTCCTGCAGACAGAGAAGCATTCCAAACAAATATCTAGACACAAAGGCGGTCACAAATGGCAAGCAACCCTCGCAAGCCAGAACATGTTATGAAAAAAGCATGAAAAAGCAAAGGATGTTTTTACTGCGCAGAAAAGAAAATTGAAAATAATACTGATAATTTTAGTACAGTCCGTGATGTTCATCTGAAAGAAACTGTCCTGCAGATTTCCATAGCAAGTAACTGTTAACTTGGCCTTGATGTATATAGGGACAAATATGTCCCAGAATTGGTTAACTACACATATGCCACTTCCAAAACCGCAATATATGATTTCTATTAGCTTATCTGTATATATTTTTCAACAAATTATTATCAGAGTGAATAAAGGGAGGCAGAATTTGAGTAAAGAATTCTTTTCGGCAATTCTCATCAGACTCAAACATACTTGGGACTATATCCTCGCAGTGAGGAGACACAAACCGACACCGATTTCAAAGCAAGAGACTTCATTCCGTTTTACCAAGTCATCGCTTGGCCTCCTCTTCTCTTCCTCCATCCAGACCCGGAGCACGCAAACAGCGCAAGATGCGGGAGTTGGTGTGCTGGCATGCACAACACGTGAATCAACCATTGGAGTCTGGTGCGTAAAATAAGTGCTGAACGGTTCACTTTCTCTTCTTGCACTAAATACACAACGACGAACACGTGCATTGCTCACGCAGTGTCCCCACCAGATATGAGCTAAGCTGCGAAGGTAGCGATGGCCGAACGTAACTAGCCTCTTCATGTCCGTCGACTTGATGGGCCAGGTTTCGCAAACGTACAGGAAGCTTGAACCGATGACTCTGTCCTTCAGGGCGAGATGGATGTCACACCGATACAACACGTGGCGGAAATTAGCAGAAGCACCTTGTGCTTTTACGATACGGCTCGGTCCCAAGGGCGCTAACAGAGCTGCCCAGATACTTAAATTTTTGAAAGAATTCTAGGTCACTGCCAAGGGTCAGTGTAGGAGTGGATCCCTGACACTCTCGGAGGACTTTGCGGTTTGAGGATGTAAAGCATAGCCCGAAACTACTGGTAGCTAGAGCTAATTTATCTGGTACAACATGACACGTTCGGGAGTTGTCACAAATGAGGACACTGTCGTCGACATACTCCAAGTCATATCGGACACCACGGAGCAGCTTCCCACTATCTAAGTAGTGCACTTTGGACGCAATCATAATTAATGGCGAAGAGAAAGAGGAAAGGTGACAGCGGGCAATCTTGTTTCACATCGCTGGAGACGTTGAAGGACGGTGACGATTTGCCGCAAACCTTCACCCTGCCCGAACTATGCGTGTACAGCGCTCTTATGACATGTACGTAGTTCTCAGGCAAACCATTCCTTATTATATAGTCAAAAAGGACACATCGATCAAGCGAAGCAAATGCCCCCTTGATATCTAGGAACACGAATACACTGGGTCGTCAATAAACATGATGGTGCTCCAACTATTGATTTTATATGATGTGGTCAATACAGCCTCGATTTCGACGAATTTGGCTTTTATGAGTACCAGTCATTCTATTGAGGACGACAGAAGCAAGTAACTTCGAGGCAATTGAGATCAGACTGCTTACTCTATGACTGCCGCATTCTGAAGAGGATCCTTCCATAAACACTGGGACTATAACGTAGCGCCTCCAGTCTGTTGAGTCTCCTGTTCCCATAGCTTCACTAGTAAGTTGTCCAAACCATCCATGAGAGCTGGTCCTCAGAATTTGAAAAGAGATTAAGTTTATCTACTTTTGCGGCTTTATTCCACTTCAAGAGTCTGGTCTCACGTTCTAGTTCTGCGCGTGAGGGCAGATCCAAGGGCTCGGCGCAAAAAGAACAAGAAAGGTATCGGCAGTATGCCGGTACCCAGAACCAACGCTTCGCTGCCGCGCAATCACCGCTAGTCTCATGTGGATCAAGAATGCTGTGAGGGTCACCTGGTCAATAGGTAGGCTCGAACCAACGCCTTCGGATTGCAAGGCATGCTAGTGATCCTTAAGGCTACGAGCCAGCCCAGAGAGAAGAACAACCAAAACCCGAAAAAAAAGATAACTCAGGTTGTTTTAACAACTTTTCAAAGTGTTCGGCCCAACGCTCCAAGTGCTTTGGCAAACTGTGGATTAGCTGCCCTCTTATCACACACAGTTTCACTAACATCAGGTATCCTCCTGCTCGTTCCCCGTATTAGAAGAAATAATTTCTGTTGGTTACCAAGGGCAGCGGCCACTTTCATCTTCGAGGCACGATGAGCATCAAGTTTCGTGGTCTCTCTACAAGCTAGCACGCGGTTTCGCCATGAGATCTTTGCGAGTCTCCCTGTGTTCGCTTCCAGCCGGAATATTGGCGAGAATAAGGAAATTCCACAGACTGCGTAGAGGCCCAATGTGCAGATTGGCAATTTGATTTGCCACATGAAGATATGTCTGCTGTTAATAACGTCTGGCGGATATAGGTCAGCTATCTTCTACGCTGCTTATTGAGCGCATACTCAGCTCGGATGTCAACGCACTTTGATACGCATTCAAAACATCTGGCTTCGTCAGTTGGCTAGTATTCATGCGCTCACAGTGTCGTTGCGAATGTCCGAAAAAACGCACCCGGGGTTCAGCACATACGAGTGCGTGGTCGGAGTTCACGCTCGTGCTCCAAATTGAGTGACAGTTTTGGACACATCCTCTCCAGTGGTAGATGATCGTGATGTGATCGATTTGCGTGTAAGGCTGGTCCGAGGTTTGCGGGTGTCGCCCTCCAGTGGGTGCTGTGTCGGAAGTTAGCGCTTGCGAGAAAGAGACGTACATCTTCACACACGTGTAGCAATCGCTCGCTACTACCATTACAGCAGCCTACACCATGTTGGCCGCTCAGATAAAGCTCCATCAGTGGACAGGTTCTCAATTTGAGCGTTCAAATCACCAAGAAGCACCACAATATCCGTAATCCTTTTGTAACGAAGGAGCGCGTTCGACTGGTGACAGAAGTCGTCTTCCACGAGTGAGCACTAAAATTTGAGGGCGCGTACAAGCATCGTTTGTCCTTACGCGACTTCGATGCATTGAAAAAGCCAGCCAATATGACGGCGTACATCCGGATGCCGACTGGGATCCGGTCAACCGGGGTAGCCACAGCCTGGGGACTCAGAATAATGCCCACACCTTCAGACATACGCAATGTGAAAGTGCTACCAGTGTTTGGGATCCAAGGATAGTCACGGAACTAGGATCTTGAAGGCAAGTTTCCGATGAGCAGCAGATGTCGATCGATAGGGTCTCTAGTGTTCGAGCAAGTGCTGCCCGTTGGCCAAGCTGCAACAAAGTGCGCACATTGAAGCATATCAGCCTTAAAGAAGATCGAGGGCTCCAAATAGAAAGGCATGAAATGAGGTTGTCCGTTTGTTTGGAGGAGTATTTGTCAACTGGACTGGAGCGACGTTCTGCGATTGCATGAGTTGAAAATAAAAGGCAGATGCGTATCAACACAAGGTGGATGTGGGCCAAGAATTGGGGGGGGGGGTTAAATCAGAATGGATATAAGGGAAGTTGGAACGGGATAATAAGGATAAAAAAGGACAGGAGAAGGGAAAAGGCATGAGGAGTAGCATCCAAACCCCTATCCACCTTGCTCGATGCAGCAGATATGGTACCGTTCTTTATCCTACCCGACGGCCAGAGCATCAAAAAATTGTTTGAAGGTCATTGTATTGCATGGGCAGGTAGTGCCAGGTTGCCCAGGCCTAGATAGGGGAACAATCAGGGTTCTCAAACAGTCTTTGGTTCAAAAACTTGACCGCAAGGCAGCGGGTTGGGCAGTGGGCTACAGAGAGTCCGTTCTATGGAGCAAGAAGTCACTCTCACTCCAACCCCCAAACTGGAAGGCCAAGAGACTGAGTTTGACAAGCCTTTAACCATTGACCCTTCTGGCATGAATGGCTCGGGAGGTGCAAAAGCACTAGCCACCATAGTCCAGTGGATCGCTGAGACACGCAAAACAACGCACTACTTTGAGGCCTAGTTTCGTCGCGACTCAGCTAAAGGCCAAACGCTTTTTCTGCAGCTTCGTATTTAAAACTTAATAATACAGCAGCGTAAGGTACAGACTATAGACGAATGTGGATGTTCCCATGCCGTGGTGGTGACCTGAGAAAAACCTAGTGTGGCTCAGGACGGTAGACGCAGTAGTGCCCTGAGGAGCTCAAGTGATTCACTGCGGCTTGACACGGTAGATATGACGATGTCCTGAGGAGAGCTCGGTTCTTACTCGTACAAAGTTTCGCGAAACTATGCAAGCTCTGTGTTACGACGACCTAGCCGGAAGGAACAAGCGACTTACGCATAGCATACACGCACGGAAAGTAAGCAACAAAATTCGATTCGCACAACCCATCAAACTTTGTCGCCAAAGATTTTCTACACGCGAGCTGAGTGGAGCGTCTGTGGCGTTTACCTGAGCCTGAGAAGCTAGGCCTTCACGGCAGACGTTTTTAGCGGTCCAGTGAAAAGTGAATACAGTGAGGTTAGTGACGCAGATGAATTTTCACACGGAACAGTCTGTGAAGCGTAATGAAGCGCACTGGCACAATGTGGGTGCGTGCATGAAATTCCGAAAGGTGGATACTTGTAAATGCCGCCGCTGCGAAGGAAGGCGAATTCATTGCGCAAGCTGGTCGGAAAAAGCGAATTTTTGTAAATGCGGACGATGACTGAATCATGCATGCTAGCATGGATGCGAGTGTCTGATCCTTAGGTGGTTTTACTTGCGCGATCTTGTGGTGACATGCACTCCCCAGTACACTCCTTAGCGAATGGGGAATGCGCTGGCCAGTAATCACTATATTTCCGGTCGGGTCCCCAGTTGGATTTTCTCCAAATCAGAGGAGCAAATAAGCACGACACAAGTGGTGCAAATCAAATACTGAGAGACGACAACACCCTACATGTATGCGCGATTGAGACGCAGTGGAAGTAAAGTTATGTATAGTATGTATTTCCAAAAAGATCGCAAGAGGCGAAATAGAGATAAAAATCTCAGTGTGAAATGATAAAAAGGGATATAAAAATATCTGGGAGTTGGAAAAAGAATGTATCAGGGTTTAATCCTCCACAAGTCGATCGAGAGAGAATAAATGCCGAATGGTTGGTCTCCCATGTGGACAGTTCTGGAACGAAGAACACACATCAGGAGCATATATAAACGGCGTACGTCAAGGGCAAAATGGGACGAGGAGGAGGAGAATAAAACTCACCCACGGGTGGTCCATGCCTGCCATGTTACGGACGATCTGTAATGTGATGGACAAACAAAGCTACGATGACCACATGAAGGTGACGAATAGTTGCACCGCCTTAAACATAAAATAACAAAGGGAGAGAACTGAGAAAAGCACGTGCTCTGTTTCAAGATTGGCTGGAAGCGTCAAGACTGAGAGATGAGACTTTGTCCATGTGCAAGCCAAGTATGGTGAACGTGGGGATACACAACGATGGTAGGCTGTGCTCTTCATCAAGTCTGAAAATGAGCCTATAACGACATCAATTAATTAAATTTAAGGTTCGCTCACACAGAAAGTATGACGATAGCAATACTAAGTAAAAGTGTAAGAGGGACCCTGTGGTAAGATACCTACACTTTGCCAGTAACACACGGTTACAAAAAGCATTCAGCGTCGCGCATCCTAATCAGTTGGTGGTTTCAGTGTTCGCTGAGCTCGGCAGGTCGACTGCAAACTACGAATAACATAGAATCAGACGAATCGAAAACGGGACAGTACGATTACAAGAAGATAGCAAACGCACCATTGATGCCAAGCACGATACATGTCCTGGGTAAAGACTCGATCCAAGCACAAAGTGAGTTGTCTTGAAGGTGAGACAGATCAATAGCAGCCGGTTTAGTCGTCATCTAACAGGGTTCCAAATACCAGATTCGATTTTCCATTCATCGAAGCTCGAGCTATCTGACTTCCGTCAAGCGAAACAAGGTATCGCTCGGTAAGCGGTTGCTGGGCATAAGGAAGAGTTGCCCCAAGTCAAAACGAAATATTCGGTGTTGTTTATCCTAGGTAACCGACCTGACTATCAACACGTAGTAGTCACCTGTGTACGTCATGGCTGCCGGTAAGCTGGAGGTATGCATTGATGATAAAATCCGAAAGCACTTGAAGTCTTTAGGTCAATAAGGCCGTTTCGCACATAGAGGAGAGCGACTCTCATTGCGGTCCCTGAGATCGAGGAAAATTCTCTTCTGGAGTCAGAAATGTCACAAATTCGTGAATGTGAATCTAGCTTTCGCAATAAGTGAACCAACTTCAGTAATCACGCGTCGGTCGCTGCTAACAAAGCTACCGATGCAGGTGAACTTAGCAACAATACTCAGCTCTTCATTGTCAAGACGCAAGAAGCTGACAAGCTGTAATTCGAAGGTGTACACCGCAGGCATAACTCCTGAGAGTTAATCCAAGCATGACTGTGGTACTCACAACCGTTAAACGGCAGGACACAATCATCTGTGTAACGCAGAACAAGCAGTTTTCCGACAGGCAATGTAAGTGGTTTAATACTTAGTAGAGAGCTCCACCAATATCCTTAAACATAGTAGGCGAAAAAGAATCCGGACCGATAGCGAGAAGACGATTTAAATCTGCAATCATGTTTGGAATCTCAATCCCTAAACTAGCCAGACTGCACTAACTGAACATGAAGCGGTTCGGGAATACGATGCCAACTGAACGGCATTCGGTTGACCAGGTCACATCGTTCGAATGCCTGTTCATCGCCTTCCTCCACCTGCACTAGGACTTGCAGCTGCATCGAGTTAGGAGAAACCTCGAGGTAGTCAACAAATGGCCAACAGATCTAGTCGGATTGGCAAATGTCGTTATCATTGAAAGGAACTTCAGAATAGACCACAGAAATGGCCGGAGACTTTATGTGACATGAAGTGGCCTCGGACTCAATGCAGTTTCTACAGCTAGATGTTAACACCCTCAGGTTGACGTATTGTACACACTATTTTCCCAAACTTCCTGTGTTCTACCTGATTCTCCTCATTGCTGTTATTGTTTTCCGGACGATGCCAGTCGTAGTAACTGAGTCCACTGCGCCTCGGTGTCAAAATCATGGCAGATTTACTGAAGTGAACCGAAATACACAAGAAAACGTTTCTCTTCGAGAACTAAAGCTCTGGTATTGTCGCAAACTGCCTATGACGAACAAGAAATTAGGACCAATGATGTGTATCACCTGGAGAGGTGCTGCGCCCCTGTCCGTCGCCTATGAATATTCCATCTCCCTATCCTTTAGGGCTGGTTATTTCCTTTGCGTTCTGGCAGGCTCATGTCTAAATGTCCGTCAAGTGACACCGCCTTATGGGTCTGCTAAAGAAATGAAAGCTGGTAGCTCAGTTTGTCCAGATGCCGGTTGAATTGCTCACGGAGCTTGGCAATTGTGCTGTGAAAGTTTCCTCAACAATCGAAGTGACATCGTCAGTGTGTGGTTACGTAGCGTGTAGTAATGTTGAATAGCGAAGAGAAGCTTCTATGAGATTGTCTGTAGGGAGTTGAATTTCTGGTCCATATGCGTTGTCTTCCGATAATCGAACGTATGCACTGATCCGTTGGTATTCCTGGTGACCAGCAGATCCAAAAATGGTAACGCTGTTCTCCACTAATTCAATCGTGGATTTGATACCCTCGAATGTACAATCGATCAGATCGTGTGTAGTCTGCACTCTATGCCGTTTTAAGATGACAAAGGTGTCGTCTACGTATCGTATCCAGTTGCAGGCTGATAGATGGCAGTGTAATGCGCTCCAATTTCTGCAATAGGCTGATGAAATGAGTCTCGATATTGGGGATCCCACAGGCGTCCCCGTCAGTTTTTGGTATACTTGTCTATCAAGGCGGAAACAAGCGGTCATGTAGAGGTCCAGGAGTTCCCACAGTTCCAGGTCACATGGTTGTTGTTGAGATCGGTTAGTCCTGAAGTCGTTCTGTTGTCGTTTCTTTGGTTAGTTCGTGACCAATTGACGTAAGAACCCGAGGCGCAAGCGGAATTATTTATTGTATCAAACATATCTAATACTAGGAGCATCCATTCCAACAAACCAGACATCCCCTTATCTTCGCTATCCCTGTTATAGTTTGCATAGTGCGGATTTCCTTCTGTGTCTATGGGTTGTGGTGTGCCTTCCTTGTGCGTCCATTCTTCGCGCGTACACAACTGTGGTTCTACAGTGCTCCTCTCATTTGGGTGTCATTACGGCCTGTTGTTGGCCGGTTGCCGTTTGGAATCCCAGGCTTTTCACACTACTGACAACCGGTGTAGTAGTGGCCGCTTTTAAGGCAGCACAAGGTGAAGAGTGCCGTGATATCGAATTGAAATCACAATTTCGTCGTATTCGATTTTGACGCCCTGCAGTTTGTTGAGGAATTGTTCAGCATTGTTGATGCTTTGCTCGGATCCAGCAGGCAAATGTTGCAAGCTTCTCCACAAATCCTTAGCTAGTTAAGATGATGGGGTTTCGGGGAGTAAGACATTAGTCGTAGTGGGACTCCATCCTTGTGTGCCATGGGTAGTCCACAGATCAGTGCAATGTTAGTATGAGCTGCTTTCATTCTCCATCACTCTGCGGCGGTGAGATCATTCGCTGCTTGTAGTTTCTTTAGCGTTGCGCTTATCTGGTTGACCAGTTTTGAACTTGGTTCTTGATCGATCGGGCAATATGTAGTTTTTGAGGCAAGCATGCTTGAGGTTAAAGTAGAGTCTTTCGATCAAGACTTCCTCGTTAGGTGCAGTGAGGGGAGGCGTGAAAGCTTTTAGATCCATCCTTCACTGCTAGCGCAGCAATTCCTAGTAGCGAGTTTGTATAACTATGAGTTCAATGCAAGCTTGCGTCGGTTCCTCGAGCTTTGATTCGAGGTTCGATTGCGGATTCCAGCGCTGTTTGTAGTTGTGGGCCCGTAGCCATAAGGATCGCAAGCCTACTTTGTAATCCGAGAGCGAGAGTTCGAGCCGGGCGACGCTCGCATTATCCTTAGCTCAGGTGCAACCGTCGGTGATTGCGCGGCAGCGAAGCGTTGGTATTGTGTACCGGTGTACTACTGATGCTTCTTTTGCCAAGAGTAGTGAAGCGAATGGTTCTATTGCCGATTATAACTTTCTCATATTTGCAATGGCGGTTGTGGGTGTCTGTTATCATCAGCTTGACCATACGTCGCCTGCATTGTCTTGCTAAGTTCCAAGCAGATGGATGGTTTAATGCCGGCCAGTGGTTTGTTCTCGCTGGCAGCACGCTCCTTCTCAGGCATTCATGAAGAAAGTAGAGCTGTTCATGTGTGCAAGCTTGTCAGCGAGCTCGTTGTAGCGTTGTACGCCTGAATTGGTTTGCTACAGAAATGAAAACTGGTAGCTCAGGTTGTTCAGATGGCAGATGAACTGTTCGCTGACTTTGACAATTTTGTTGCAAACGTTTCGTCATCGATCGAGGTGACATCGTCTGCACGTCGTTAGGTAGAGTGTAGTGCTACACGCTGCAATTACAATTGTTCAACGAGAAAAGTAACGGAAATGTCCACGTAGGACGCGTCTTGCGTGGACAAACTCGAAGCGCCAATCCAGGAAGGCGATATTCACCAACTTCATAAAGCCCTTCCGTTAAATTCTCTATAACTTCATGCCATTTCATTAACTCACCAGTGTATCTAGACGGATTTCACAATACCGGAGGACATTCCTTGGCAACCCGCTTCGAAATTGGTCTCATTCGAGGGCTCATCTCTCGAGACTTTGAATAAACTAACTCACGAAATCTTAGAGTAATTGGAGATTCGACTGATGACACAAGCGCGCAACTCGCGATGCGGTGGGTGGGTGACATGGAAAGACAGAATAGAAAACGGGAATTGAAACAACTCATACATGGCATCCAAAGGTTTGGGAAATAAGTGGTATTCATTCAAAGTACCACGATCAAGTTAGAGTGAAGTTTGGTGGTTTCCGCTATACTGAACGGAGGCTGCATGGTTTGAGGCAGACTGTGACAGACCAGAAAGGATATATCCGACCACCGTAAGACAATCTGCGGCGTTTGTGATTTAGACGAATCGAGTTCCCGTTACACCCGGAAACTACTGCCACTCGTGGTCAAACTTTGAAGGGAGATGGTTGTACACTGAGGAGGGTGATGAGAAAACGGAATAATGTGGCGGGAAGACCGCTTTACAAATTTGTGCAAAGATGTAGGCCGAATCACAACCGTTCCACATCTCATTGTAGTTGCTATGACCTACCGCAATTCAAAGTCCCAGATCGTTATAGCCTAAATGAATTTGTACCCCCAGGTGTGCCATACAAAACGAAATGCACAGATGTGTGATGACAGAATGTAAAACATACGCGGAGCATTTTGCCTCGATCCAACGCATCTCCGATCATGACGGCGCTTCGACAAGATCGAGAAGCCAAAATATCGCGCAGTCGGGACGGGCGACATCGACGGGACTGGGGACAGAGAGGACAGGGTAGGAGGGTAGATGTTATTGGTGGGAGCGGCGAAAGCAAAACGAATCAAATGGGTAATCAGTCTGCCTTAAGAATAAAAATGAGCAGACCACCTGAAAAATGAGCATATCTAGTAATAAGTAAAGCTATATGATTGTTTGCCTGGGAACCGGGGCTAATATAGAAACAGTCGACCTTACAAAAGATCGCAGGTCGAACGTAACCTTGGTAGGGAGCGGTCACCCATAGGACAAAAATCAATTATTGGTCAAGCATGGCTTCAGTGCGTCCAGCACAAAATTCAAATCGCAAGAGTGATTAATACAGAACCCCAATTTGATTCCCATGTATACACACACACACATTAGTTGGATAGTACAGTTGACCGCATTAATAGGTCAGACAAAATCGCCACAAGCGCCTAAGAAAACTTTCGGTTTAACCCACGTATGTCGTATCCAATGCTAACAAGAAGTCGAGGTCGAGTAAAACGTTGATTAAAACGTAGGTTTCGACGATGCTCTCTTAAGATGAGATGACGTACACAGCGAAGAATCCAGACAAGTGGAAGAACGTGAACCGGGAGACGAGAGTACGACCATGAGGGTTGTGGGAATAAGTCGGAGTAACAGAGATGCCAGTCAGCATGAAACTAGTGGGTGTCTGAAATACGTGGCATCACAGGAATATGTCGACGTCGTGGCATGTAAACGGCAGATAGCAATAAATGGTACACACAGATCTATTTGATGTTTGACATCTAATGCAAGTGGAACCTACTAAATAAACACACAGAATCTGACGGGTCCAAAGATGCACCGTGAAACACAAAACGCATAGCTGATTCACAAAGCTACAGATTTCTGGAAGATAATTCGTCTCATTCGAAAGTCTGTAGAATACTTTTAAAGCACAGCTTCTGGCCAATCTAGCAGTAGGGCATTAAAGCGCAAATAAAGTCACCTTATGAAACAACTGCTGTGTTGAAGAGCCTATCTGCTGTATCCCTGAAACGTCGTGGCGGTGCTCTGAGGAGCGGCACAATTGTGCACATATACCGCATTTCAAATCCTGATGCCGGAAGAAAAAGTGCTTTTCCATACGTAAACTCTCCGAAAACGAGCACAGAGAATGACTAGGAAAAACTGATAGCGGGATACAAGCAAATGAAACGGAAGGAATACAAAGCACACAAAATGAACCGAGATGTTTAATTGACTCACGCAACCCTCAGCAAGAACGAACAGCATTTCTTCGATGTCTACAAAATGAAATAAAGACTAAAGGACAAAAGGAGAGTGGATGGTTTTGGGGAATAACGATGTGCATCAATTATTCTAGTAACTAAAGGCACAGTGTCATTGCCAACCACTGCATCGCAAGTACACAACTGTAAAAGAAAAATAATCAAAACAAGTAATTCTACGGTGTCTTTTTCATTACGCGTCAGTAGCGAAATCGGAGTTAGAGGGGATGCTAAACGGGAGAGGTAGGGGCGGAGAAATTCACAACACAAACGCCATTGAGGTCGGCCCCTAACCGTGTCAAAAATCGTACCCAGCCAAACGAGTTCATCGTCCTACGGACACCAACCAGGAACTCGAGAGGTTTCAACGCAGGCAGATTTCGAAGTGAGGATTTTCACTCCGTTTTGGTCAAGCCAATGGTTGGTTTCACCTCCTCTTCTCCATCCATAGCCGGTCGCGCAGGCAATGCACGCCGCGGGGATCGGTGTGCTGTCATGCGAAATACGTGGCGGCCCAGCTATCGGAGCATGGTTCGTGGAACAACAGTGCTGAGCGGTTCTCTAGCTCCTCCCGCCAGCCCGTAGAATTAAGGATCACAAGCCTGCCTTGTAACCTGAAGGCGCGAGTTCGAGTCTGCGTAGAGACCGGGAGACCCCCACAGAACTCTTGGCCTATGTGCGATCGGTGGTGTTTGCGCGGCAGCGAAGTGTCGGTGCTGTATACAGATGCTGTCTTACTGGCCTTCCTGCTTCATAAACATGTCGAATGTGCACAATGCTCACGCGGTGTTCCCACCAGGTGGAAGCGCAACTGTGAAAGCACCGGTAGTCGAACGTTTATAGATACTGTAGGTCTGTCGATCAGACGGGCCAGGTTCCAAAACCGTACACAAAGGTAAAACGGACGACTACATTTTGCCCTTCAGGGCAATAGTAAGTAATGTCGAGCAGGCGCCATTGGCGAGAGACAAAGTCCAAAGCGTCTTGAGCTTTTGCTATACGATTAGTCTCATCATCTTTTATTCCAAAGGTGCGGATATAGTTTCATAGAACAACAGTGGGGACCATATGCTCTACGGGTATCATAATCGTGAAAATGGAAACATTCAAAGGTACCAAACGATTAGGAACAAGAGGTTTACGATGGCGACGGAAAAGCATGGAAAAGATTCGAGTTATATCATCGTAATTAGAGTCTAAGCCGCATAGGTAAGTTAGCAATCAGGAAAAGCACTAGACGACCGTTTCATCCCACGGGGGCTCGTTGGTGGCGCACATTCCCTTGGTCCCCTATATATATATATATATATATATATATATATATATATATATATATATATATATATATATATATATATATATATACCAGTACATTCCCGCAGGGCTTAATCTATATTTCGTGCTTATCTATTCTCAGGTTTCAATCAGTGATGGTTGGTAATCGCCCCTCAGTGGCATAGGCCGCTAGCCAGTGGGTGCAAGCCACTAGCGGTCATGGGTTCGATCTTCAACAGCTGAGGCTGTATACATAACACGTTTTCACCGTAGTTGAGCTACCCCGACCTAAAAAAAAAAGTTTAAACTGGATAAAAGGTATTTTACTTCATCTAATTTGCTCAATTCCGTTATTCTGCTGCATATGCCGTGTCCATTTTCCTTCAGATTATGTATTGGTTGTTTGATATCCACGATGTGGATACGATTGATATGAATTTTGACAAAATGCCCACTTGTCTAACACAATCCACCTTAGTTACTGGCTACAGGAGACGGTTGGTGCTTGCTTGGGGAGACGGGGTCACAGTCCTTGTACGCTAGACTCAAAGAGTGGTTCCATCTAGTTTGGAGCTGAATATGGCCGAGCCACCGCATTGTATACGTCGGGCACGTTGCTGCTGCTCTTCCTGCTGAAAGTGTGGACCGGCTCCGGCGATGAAACGTGGATCCCATCCACATGTCTCCCGGTCCTATTCTTTCGGGTTTACACTGGATAAGGGGCTATGGGTGGTGCAGCGTAAGCAACCCATGGTCGCTCTGTAGGCGCAGGAGTGTTGTTGCAGGAAATGCAATCCGAGAACGCATTAGATAGCTTCGCAGAAGGCATCGCGTGGGGCAGTGAGGCCAGAAATAAAGTTGCGCAAAAGAAAATACCCCAATAGAAAACCAAATCGGGGTCAAATGCGTAAAGTACCTGATCGTCCAAACACGTTGTCTTCCAGCATGGGTGTAGCAACCAAGTGCACTTGCTGTCCGCAAGGAGCTGCAAAAACAAAGGTGAAAGTGCGAATCGAAAAGCAATACATAATTGCACAAAAACTAGAAGCTGAGTGGTCTATTCTCACAAAGAAATGTTGAGGCTAGTAGACTTTGGTGAAACGTAAATTGGAAGCCAGGTACATCAGGAACGTACTGATTAGTCGTAGAGAAAACGGTCTCATCAAGCGATCCGTTTACCGAAAACCGACATGGTCCGGGCAGTACCTGCATTTTACCAGCTCCAGGCCAATGCGGTACAAACGGGAACTAGTCAAGACTTTGTTAAATCGCGCAAGAAGAATACGCAGCACAGATTGCCTGAAAGAGGAACAGAAGCTGTTGACTAATGCGCTCTTGAAAAACGGCTATCCTCGCCGGTTTATCGCAAAAGATAGCCAGACAAGAGAGAAGGTCCTCACTGTGGCCAAAAAAGACCTTTATAGAACTAACATTTAAAGGTGACTTTGCCACTATTAGGACAGCCAAACGAATAATTTCCGCTGTTCATAGGACTTATTATGCTGCCGAAGCTGTCCTTATTAACCGAACCAACAAAGTGCCTGTTCCCCCAACGAAGGAAAGACAATCCGTCGGCGCCATTTCATACTGAAGTTATCAATTCACTTGTAGCTGCGAGTCACGCTACATAGGCCGTACCGAGAGAATGTTAAATTCCAGAGTAACGCAGCATGTAGCTAAATGGGTGCAATGTGAAATTATCCAGTCTTCCGCTTCGTCAACCACTTGTTCACGAAAGCCACCTGCCTCATCCATAGGTAGACACTTAGTGTCTAGTTGTCGCGATTATCAGGATCAAACCGGCACTCTGTGTGCAAAAACAGTTGTTCGTAAGCTAAAGGCTCCTATGGATGTAAGGATGGCACATCTGTAGCGCATCCTGTTTCTATTTTAGCCGGTCACACCCCAGCTGTAGATGCATATATTTTTCTTAATTGAGGTTCTTCGCAGCCAATTTCCAAATCAGATAGTCGTCCACATGAACGGAAAAAACACTAAACTGCAGTTTCAGCCTGTTGGGCATCATCAGTAGTGCGCATCCATCGGATCCATCAGGATTCGAACTCATGACTATCAGTGGCTTGAACCGCCAGTCAGCAGCTTATGCCACTGGGCCATGGGGGACAGCTTCGGAGCTTCATGATTTACAAGCTAACTGCGATATAGCGCGTCTTATTCTCCAGTGCCATGCAAGTTACGAAGGTTGTAGAGGACAGGGTTGGCCCCGAAAGACACGACGTCCACTAACAGTAGTTGTGTACGACATAGCATTTAGAAACTGTCAGGGCAGATATACTTTGATGTAGTCATGAGTAGGGGATTTTGATATAATGAATTGAGGTTCTATTAGTGGACGTCGTGTATTTCGGGGCCAACCCTGTCCTCTGCAACCTTCGTAACTTGCATGGCACTGGAGAATAAGACGCGCTATATCGCAGTTAGCTTATAAATCATGAAGCTCCGAAGCTGTCTCCCGTGGCCCAGTGGCATAAGCTGCTGACTGGCGGTTCAATCCGCTGGTAGTCATGGGTTCGAATCCTGATGGATCCGATGGATGCGCGCTACTGACGATGCCCAACAGGCTGAGACTGCAGTCCAGTACTTTTCCGTGCATGTGGACGACTATCTGATTTGGAAGCTGTCTGCGAAGAAGCTCAATTAATTATATCAAAATCCCCTACTGATGAGTAATCAATATATTTGTTGTCATGATATTGGCATTGAGGAGACAATACGAAATATTAACATCTGCCAGCTTTGGTTTTCTCACATCGTTGTTTAGAATCAGTAAAAGTATGGTTAGCTTCCGCTCTGTTAGGAAATGCACTGACCACATTTTAACTTGCCGACAGGTACTTTGTCGCCAAGAATCGCACAGTCCATCATGACATGGTTCCTTGACCTGACGAATACCTATGACTTCTGTCACAGGATTGCGCCAGCATAGCAGGTCTAAGCGCCGCTCGAATTTGCTCATCGGTTTACTCAGTTGATTGGTTCAGATTGTTACTAAATGCACTACTAAGGGCAATGCCATGTTCCGAACTACTGGCCATTTGCGGAGACTGTTGGGCCTAAAGGCATTGATTAGGAACACGGTGAACAAAGCCGTGGTGTTGTAAACCTTGCTGTACGCATCAGTCCAGGCCGTGAGACTGTGGTTTGCAACTACTGCCTGCAAAGTATTGCTCAAGTTTGGCAAGAGAACCGAGTAGGCCATATCGAAATACATCATTTAGTGTTTGGCAACGGAGCTCCCCGGCTTATCAGTGAAGTGTTTATGATTCGGTCGTATTCCCTGCACACATGTACCAACAGGATGCATCAGGGGATGTACTGCTTATCAAAACTGCATCATGAAATGGCTAGTCAATGATTTTGAAAGGGTGAAGAATTGTACTGAAAATCTGAGTCGAGTTGGTAGTTGTGGTCTTCCTAGATGGGATCTTCAGCGGTTGGCTACCCCTGATCGGATGTGGCGTGGTCACGTAGTCATTGAGCGCTTGCATTTCCCTCCCCTTTACTGACCGTACCATACGACCGCTTTAATTCGTTTTCATTCCACTTGTGCTACAATAAGTATATTCTGCTGCCCGGTAGCGAGGCTGCAGGGTCTACCGATCGTCATGGGTGAACTGTACTGAACTGAACAGAGCCTCGATTGTTCTTGACATTAGGCTTTGGCCCTACGCGGTGATGCAGAACGCTAAATATTCTCATAAAAGAGACACACGTAACATTTGCTTTCAACCACCTTCTAGGTAGCACCGCCAGTTTCTGATTGTACATCGTTGTAATTGCTGGCAGATTATACCAACGGTTGTTGATTTATTGCTCTTCCCTACATATGTATCCACTAATTTGCCACAATTTTTCTCTTCAACCTGGAACACACGTTGTAATAATCGACGTCTTGCAACTTAATCTCCTCTTGTGCGTAGATCAGTGTTACGCCAAGTTTCGGCGAGCTTTAGGTTCTCTGAACGAAGGATCTCATCCCATTCGTTAACCCTGTCATGTTTGATGTCTACACAAATTGCAAACTTAGTCAGTAGAGTTGCGCCAAGTTTCTCGGAGTCTTCCTCTATTTTCCTTCCGTACCAACTTTGGTCCGGATATCAAATTACAGTGGACCTAGTTGTCTTGACACAAGTCGACAAAATGGAAACAATGAAAACGAATGAATAATAGATAAAACCGTCACGGTGTGAAATCCACTGATCGCCTCGGGGATTTCACCAAACCGCGTGAAGTGTGCGTAAACAAAACACGCGGAGGTAATCGGAATGCATTGGTGAGAAAAATCCACCTGGCTAGCTAACCGAACTACATCCACATGGTGCCACCTGGGCGGTTGGGGTTTATCCAGCTCCAGCAAAAGGTTTGACGGTAGTGCATTTTCACCCGGTAAGCATTCTCCACAGAAAATGCCACAAATGTCTGTTTGACAGCATAGTGACGTGGCGGATGCGAACAGCGAGTCAATAAAGTCATTGTACCCAGGTGGAGCAATACGTTCAGGCAGCTTAATGCCGAAAATTGTGGGAAGGATTGAGCCTATGTTTGGTAACCTACCACACGAAAAGCGTATGAATGGAAAAAAGCAAGTCAGTTCACAATCGTCGAGGCCCCCTAACTTCGCAATGTTGTCTTGCAGGTAGGCTATCCAGTAAAAGACTCGAACGTGATGTCCTCTAAGTCAACTACCGACATTGGCACGGGCTACGGAGCAGTATCACGTCCCTCACAGAAACCATAAACCGCTATGTGCTTCGCTTGAATTGCTTTAAACAAATGTACCTTAAATTAATTTCTATGATATTTGATGGCCATTCACCAGACTGTAGCATATATATATATATATATATATATATATATATATATATATATATATATATATATATATATATGAAGAACCTTCACTCCAGTAAGGGGAACCCATCAGAATCGAAAGGATAGAACAGGTGCGCACCGTTTATCGATTAGTGCACAGCTCATATACAGTCAAGCGAGTGAAAAGTAGGAATTCGGATGAAGTAAAACTCACAAGGGCATGAGCATCAAGGCCGCTGTGTTGGAGTGATTGCAATGTCAATGGTTTTGGTGCTTGGAGTTACTGCTGAATAAGTCAAGTGAATTCAAGATAAGCCCTACACACCCGGGTGGGAGTTGTGGGATGAGTCCACAAAGAATTGAGACCAGTCGGATTGTTACGGACGCCTTGACTATTCAAGCATGACGTTATTTTCCTCCCGTGTTCTGAGTTTTCCCGAACTTGGTTTTCAAGCAAGCTCTCCACCCGCACGCAAAGCTTTGGTTTGACCATTTCCACTCTTTGCCCTTCACCCAGTGACACTAGGCCAGCCTGACTCTGTGCTTGACAATGACAGTGTGAATTTACTCGCGGTGCTTGGCAGTTGTGACGCTTAACCGAGTAGACTGATTGGTTGGTTTAGATCGCACGGCTTCAATAAGCTTTTGCAAATAGCTCTGTCAGTTCATCCATGTAAGTGGCCCGTGTTAGTGCGCTGGTCCTTTAGGTCGCACTGTTTCTGACTATTATAATTCGAGAAAGGATTGGTTGTAGACCTTTGCTCTGGACACGGTTGAGGTTAGGATTTGATCTGTTACTCTTAATCCATTGTAAAAACAGCACAATAGTTATTCCCTGCTTTGTTTTCCTAATTGACCCGGGGATTTTACGAGGTGCTCAAAGCCAAGAGCGAAATGTCGGTAACTCGGATCGTAACGAATTACAATCGCTGCTGGCAGAAGTAATAATCGAATGGTTACAAGGAACAGTGAAGTGACCATATTAAAGGAAAGTTGAAAGAAACACAGCAGAACCGTCCGAGAACTGATCTAAGTGTGCTCACGATCGTTAGTGCATAAGGCACCAACTGTTAATCGTCTGGCGGATGCAGGATGGTGACAAGATATTGCTTGGGTTTAAAGATCCGAATTCCATCACATTTACCTCAGGCAATGGCGGCCTAGCCTTCACGCCATGAACCTAGGGCGAAGAGCTTGTAACGTGGCCTGTAAAATTGGTGACCGTGGTTGCAATTTTAGAGCGACGATAATCGTCGGTAAGCAAGGTTGTGTCGTAAACGCAACTATAGTGCGACATACGTATGAAGTAGGTGGATATACGCATATGGGTTTGAGGTGACACCACATTCACTGACGTCAACGAAGAGACGGGTGTGGAGGGAAGGTGGTATTCGGCCGAAGATGGCACAGTTACATCGCTAGACATGCGAGTTGTATCATGAGTGGAGGAGCGTGTAAAGCAGCAGAAATGCATTTGACCTCCATAGAAGATTCTCATGGCTCAAGTGGGGTACGCAGTGGCCTGGGAAAAGGGCACAATGACTCATGCCGAACATGCAGCTGACAGGCCAAGCTGCTTATCTCTGGGTGGGCGAATGGGGAAGAGGAGTGCTTACCGATGGTCAAAACGTGCATCACCACATGTAGTGCTGATGCTTCTGTGCGATAAAGATCCAGTACCTTACCACCACTCCTTTGTGTGATTCCTTCAGTGCGATAAGGCACCACATGTACATCGAGCACTCTGAATCAGCTGAGAAATAGGCTCATTGGAGTACAGTTGTAAACGATACAGAGAATGGACATGAAACAGGATGAAATAGAGGCACAACAACGGAAATTCATGCCAAAAACTAGTATTTATCAGAAGGTAACCTCATCTGATGACATATTAGTGCCTATTTGATGAATCCGGATTGAGATTGGGAAACTGTAAACACTCAGCCAACTAACCTGCGTGATCCACTTTAAATAAAAATCCGTTCTTCTCGAAAACGTCCAAATTATTCAAAAGTAGCTGTTCTTGGCTGATGGGTAGAGCTAGTTGTTGAGGGCTGGAGTGACGAAACAGACACATGACCACAGGGAACCATTTAGCCATGAGCTTGCAAGCTGCGTAATGATTTGATCCAAACGATTTAGCGATCAATACAACATTACATCATGGTCGATGGAAGATCTACTCCAAACTAGTAACCCGAAGTTGTGAGTACGCTAGATCGACAATACATTTGTAATACTCAAACGCAGTGAAACAGCACTCGAACATCAACTACTCAACAATGTAATGGATGGGATTCAGTTTACAATGGAACTAGAGGCAGAAAACAAGCTCTCATTCTTGGATGTGTTGGTGACCAGAACAAAGGACGGTGAATGTCGCATATCCGTTCATAGGAAAGGCACACATACGGATAAAATTTGCAAATTCAATAGCATCAACCCAAAGTGCTACAAAATAAGGTGCAGGTGAGCGCTATTTTGCAGGATTGAAACGCACTGCAGTACAGCGGAAGCCAAACGGGAAGGGAAACACCTTTCGATTCATTTGAGCGCAATGGATACCCAAGCACCTTCATCCGCAGATGTCTAAACCACAAACCTACAAACAGCGAGCCGATACCAAATACAAGCGAGAAGGTCGTTTTGCCATATATGAAGAACATATATGAAATGACTGCTAGATTGCTCAAACAACATTACATCGTGGCTGCTCACAAGTCAACTTCTACTTTGAGAAGCGTGCTGTCGAACCCAAAGGACAAGCGGGAAGCACAAGAACGAACAAACGTCGTGCGAAAAATAGATTGCAATAATTGCGAAATGAACTATATGGGACAGACAGGAAGGAAACAATCCACAATGATACAAGAACATCAGAGGGCTTATAAAAAACATTATGCATCGTATCCTGTCTCAGTGCATGTGGATGAGGAGAGACATAGCTTTAATTGAAACAAAACGGAGATCCTAGCTCAAGCAGCAACACAGAAAGGAAGAAAATTTCTACAAGCATGGTACTCCTCTAATACTTCGATCGACATGCGCATCGAGATCGATCCCGCGTACCAGCAGCTCAGAAAGAAAGATCTCCGGCGAATAGAAAGACGTAGTTTAGCCACCGAAGAGAATGGGAAGAGATCACGAAGCGCAAATCAAGATTGCCACTTGCACAAGCCACCTGTCCGTCGATCACGGACGATTCAATAGCAGGATTGTTCATTGCGCATTTCGCATGGTGGCAAAACGAATGCAATTATTTTATCAAGCTCGGAGAACCGATTAACAGGTGAGGCTATGAACAGTGGAAACGCATATTTCAAGGACAAACGATAGTGTGGCATTTAAAAGTAAAAGGCGTAGCTCAATTCGATAAGTGAAAAGTGTTACTGCCCAACTCACCAGACCAAAGGCTGACACGAAAAGCGGTAATTTTCGCACAGTTGTTCGAACCGGCACTTCTCATCACTCGCGTGTTGATCAATAATGAACAGATCTTTTCGGTGTCGTGCAATGATGAATCCCAGATTAAACTGGCCGACGATCTGGAGCTCACCGAATGACGATTTGCTAGGGAGAATAGAAATCATGTGAAGGTTCTAATAGCGAGTAAATGGAGCCAAAAACAAGAAATCAGCAATGATAACTGATGATCCAAATATAACGAGATGACTGGATAAAACAAACGTCCCTCTTCATGTTAGCATCCAGCAGTCCTCTGGGTATTTAGTACGGTATCGAGAACAAACACAGAGAAATCGAAGGACAAGTAACTTACCTGAAGTAAGTCGAAAGTTCGGATTCGGCGTTCTCATCTTGTGTTGCCCGAAAGTAACCGAGAGAAAAGCTGTGGGAATCCACATTTAGGGTGTCCAGGGTGTTGCCGGCCGGTGGAGCATGCCATCGTTCCCTTAGATCATCCAGAGAGAAGTCCACTGTTATAGATTTGGAATGAAGCGATTCCGACTGCAATGAATCACGGAAACGTGGATGTATGCACATCGTTAATCCTACTAAGCTGCGTTTGCTGATTGAGAGGAAAGTGGGTGAAAGGGGAAACGAAGTATAAGTCTGTCAAACGTGCACAACAGAATTGTCACCAAATGCCTTCTTTCAAATTGACAGAGCCCGGTAAAGGCAGTTAGTTCTATGCCATTGCATTAAACGTCGGCGATGAGCCAACGGGCGAAACTCGAGCACTATAGGATACACAGCGCTATGGTAAAGAGCAGCAGGAATATCATGTGTTTAGGAGTCCGTCACAAAACGCGTACACGTATTCGCCGACTGGCCCTACCAGCTTTAAATAGCTTCTTTTGAGAAGTGTCCTAGACATATCACAAACGTGCTTGAGCAGAACTATAAATGCGCTTTAAGTACAAATTATTTGTGCTCTCGCACTAACTTCCATATAATAACCGAAGACCCCTGAGATTGGGAACGGATAGGAAGATTAACGCGAACAAGATCGATTTCGACTAGGATCGCGAGATATCTAAACATTCTGAGGCGTGTAAATGTCACCAAAAACGGCATTCGCAGTATGAAATGCGCTGCTTATCATAAGAGAGTGTATTCCGGGTGGCTAAGAAAATAGCTAATCCATACAGAGCATGAAGATTCATAGGAGCTGCCTGGAAAGCGAGGCGTCGCAAACCAAAAACAAGCAGGTAGTTTAGGCGAATGCAGGCAGATTTGGCGTAAGGAGATGTTGCAGATAGCATACGATAACTGCAATGCCATGAGTGGGGCGTAACACACACAGTAAGACGAAAAGTCAACACCAATATGCGGATGCATCCACACAACGAAAAAATGAGAGTCGGAAGTAGGCCGGTGAATCGTAAAGACGCCTTGCTGTCACGCAAGCACCAACAGCGGCGTGCGGCCTGAATATAAAGCGATGTCTCCCGCTCCTATGTGGATTCGAATCGGTAACCTTAGGAATAGAAAGCGAGCGCGCAATGGTTTCTGTCAACGACGAGAAATCGACAGGAGTTGCGAACGCTGTGAAGTCCAACATCACTAAGACGGATAGCGTAGCGACATTGCGAGTGGTTCGGGTTAACTCGAGGTAGATACAGTTGAAACAGACCAGTTATCGCCGTCACTCCTGTCTGGATAAGTAGAATGGATACATATTAACACCTGGTAGTTCTAATAGATGTTAGTGAGAAACAGACTTCATCAATAGTATATATATATATATATATATATATATATATATATATATATATATATATATATATGGTTGGCGGCATCCGGTTTCGGATTTGCCTGTCACTGTGGCCAGCCACAGGACGCCTGCGCCTACAGAGGGACCATAAGTGGCTTGCGCTGCACCACCCACAGCTCCAACCACATACCCCATATCCAGTGTAAACCCGAAGGAATAAGACAATGAGGCATGTGGACGGGAGCCACGTTTCATCAACGGAGCCGGCCCACACTCCTTCACAGGCAAACACAAGCACGCTGTATGTGGGAATCAAGCGCACACAAGGCGGTGGCTGGACCGTAGCCTAGCACGACCACAAGGACCGTGCACCCCGTCCCCTCCAGCAACGACCAACTATCTCCTAGAGACAGTATGGGCGAGGTAGTGGGTACTAGACAGGTAGACACCTTGTCAACATGCACATCAAGCGCAGCCACACCGGGGATATCAAACAACAGCCATTCACTTTAAACGACAAGCTGAAATAAAATAAATCCAATAATGCATACAGATACGGTGGCATAACTCTTCTCTAAATTAGTATATGAAGTAGGTTGGTTAGCAACAAATCCGCGATAAGTGAAAAATGTCCAGAAGTGACTCAGAAAATGCTACAAACGCAACAAGGTTAACGAAGATAAACACAATTACCGTAAGCAACGTGGAAATTTAATAGAAGATTATTCCGGCAGGCAGAACAAATCAAATGAAGTGGAGTGAAATTTATCCAGCTTAAAAAGACTTAGTTTAAGTGTAAGTTGGTTTAGCCCAACTGCGGTGAAGAAGTATCATGTATGTAACATCAGCCTCAGCATGGGGCACAGTATATATATATATATATATATATATATATATATATATATATATATATATATATATATATGTATATAACCGTCTACGAATAGATATAGAACCATCAGAAACCATGAGACTACAAAGAAGGTACAGAAATAGTAAAAAAAAACAACACAGCACATCGGAGTACATGGTTTCGTCAGAGGGGGAGATACTACCTGGTTGCCCAAGCCGAAGTAGTGTGTTGACCTAGGGACACCATCCTGAGCCTTTGGCTGAATAGCCTGCCTGCAAGGCAGCGGAGCGAATTCAGGGAATCGCAACCATTGAGAACCAGTGACTGATTGGTCAGTTCATACGCCTTTCGTTTGTTTGTTTGTCAAACAGGGGCCCAATGCTCCCAGAAATACAGCATAAAGTTGCTGGAATACAGTGCTTCACCAAGATGAAGCAAGGGGCAGTGGTTTTATTTAGTAGCAAGTCATATACATCACGTCACAGTGTTGTTAAATGGACATCTGTGACTTTTTATAGGGAGGATGCATGCTTGGGTGAAAGCCCTTAAAAGCGTCATATGCTTTGAAGATCCAGTATACGCTAGGGAGTGGAGATGACGCTGAAGTGTTTACCGAGTGCTAAACGTACCATTCCCGGCATGGTGTAATTGATACTAACCTCGGTACTTGCACCATGAGACCACGATGAAATTCTGTGGATATATACAAATGGGACAATCCTAAGACATCCCAGTCATTAGAGAAGCGTGGGGCAACATGCTGTAGACCCTGATGCGACCTGGGTAGCATGAGTATGGAGAACGCAGATTGTCGACGTATTTCATTTTAACATCCTACTGAGAATGTGAACAGATCGAAACGATTGACTAAGTCGAAAGCAGTCTTGACGAGATCCTTACATTCGCTGCACATCAAAAACGTCCGGCTCAAGTGAGCGGCTGTGAGGTAGCCACAAGATGAGAACCAAAATGTAACGACTGTTTGTTCAGCAAATGTAGCAACACCAGCGTGAGGATAGTTCTACACATAGAGGAGGTGGAATATTGGTGTAAAAACTCCAAAACCAAATTGGGTTGTGTGATGGTGACTGAAACCGATGATGAGTGGAAACGTTATGATACCGAGAGGCAGATGGCCAATGGGACGTCAGACAACATTTCGCGGAGTACAGTACAGATGCAATTTACCACGAAGGAAAGTGAGTATGTCATCGGAAGCGGATTGGTCAGTCGAGCAGCGAGTAGTCTACGCACGCGCACGCCCAGCTCTTTGCGAGAACAAGCAGCCAACTGAGCAAACATCCACTGAGTGTACAGGTCCCAAACGTACAGGACAAATTCAGTCTGGCGTAAGAGCGCACCCTAGATAAGCGGGGAAGCCGGTGGGTTTGCCAGCTCATGAATAGACTGTATGCACTTGAGTCAAAGTTTGCTGGGGCACCGGACCAAGAAAAGGAACGTGTGGCCAGATGGACGAGTGACCAATCGAGCCAATCGTACAATCCAACCAGAAAGCGGGCAACGCGGCTCAAGGTGAATGTTGCTATCAAGCGCAAACCAATGGAAATGGAGCCAGCGACATAATGCAAATAAGAAGGGTGAGCCAGTGGAGCACACTGTCGCAAATAGTGTATATACCCTATAAATATCCATGCGTAATCTTCATAAACGACTTCCTGATTGAGGCTCAGTCTTTTTAATTTACGGGGGGCTACAAGACAGGTTGACATTTGCCAAAGACAACCAGATGCACCAGTTTCATGAGATGAACTCGTTCAACTGGCACCCGAGCTGCATATGTAGTGTGCGTCAACGAACGCAGACGAACTGAGCCAACCAACCGCCGATTGAAGTTCGTCACAACGGGTGCATGTGTCGTTACAGATACATTGTCCCTGGTGTGCCAATGAGCTAAGTTAGCTATGAGTAGAGTACTGACACGAGACGAGACAGAATAGCCACATCCGAAGGTTGCATGATGTAGTACAAAGAAAAGAATGTCGAGTCAAAGCGTGATATCGACCATTAAAACTGGACTCAGACCCAAATGGGAAGTACACTGCTTGGCATGCAAACAACGCGGTTCCGTTCACAAAGGCAGTTGGTGGTAGCCATGCCGCAAGAAATATGACACGAGAGTGTCGAAATTGGGTAGAGGTAAAAGGAAAATGAGCGGCACTAGCCTAACTGCAGCAAGCGTTAACAGCAAAAAGAGTGGGAAAAACTTGCCTCGTTGAAATAACTGTCTTCAAGCTTCCTGTTCTCAAGCTGAACCGAGGTGCCAGAAGCAGGAGTTTGGATAACACTCATCTCTAACATCTCCTGGCAAGACACGACAGGCCTAGCGGCGCCTCGTACTGGAGTCGAGGTAGAACTGCCCGCAGACTGTGGATGAAAATTCAAGACGTCTGGTGTAGCTGTAACGGTGAAAAGGAAGTGCGTGTTAGACAAATAAGAATAGAGACCAAGGAGAATAAAGCCTAAAAGGAAAGCTTACTTACCTCGTTTTGGAAGTGGATTTGATAGCGCTGAGGAGGAGTGACGCTTGCGATCAGGAGTGATAGCGTCAGAGGAGAGCTAGTTCATGGGCGTCGGGGAAATGGGGAGAAATCGAAAAAAAGTTGGCTGAGGAACACACTAGCTTATGATCAACGAAAACCAATATCGAACAGTAACGAGCTGTTGTGCGAAAATTGGAACAGTTTTAGCACACAAGCATACCTGGGCCACTGGTGGACAGTAATGGCGTCTGGAGAGAAGGAGAAACCCCATTGGGGCGCTAGATAAAGACAAACGAATTGGTAAACAAGCATTAACAATGCTACCCAGACCAGTTCGCAAAAAGTGAGGGAATGAAGTCGAGGAGAGGCATCAGCGGTACGCCGGTGTATAGCGCACTGACGCTTGTCGCCATGCAACCATGAACAGTCGTGTGTGGATTGCAAATGTTGCGAGATCGCCAGTGCCTAGGTGGATTCGAGCCCGTGACCTCGGGGTTACAAGGCAGATGCCGTAACTTACTCCGGCCACCGGCAGATTGATGTCGATGAAATTGAAGGCAAATGGACCGGACGTAAGAAGCAAGCGTTGTCAGTCAGACAAGCGTTTTGATGGCGATGATTAACCACACTGCAGCTGGTAGCCACGGCCTTGGGTAAAATGCCGAACCAAAGTTGTGGAACAATACCCCGAGAAAACATTGGAAGTAGAAAATAGCGAACAAGCTTGTTTTCAGTGGATTATCATCAGGTTAATACAGCTACAACTATGTGGATCAAAAATGAACACCGGAGTTATAGGCGTCAATAAATCAAAATTTCTCATCAATAAGGCTATGTGATTAACTCGACCTGTGTGGAGCCTGGGAAATGGCGTGATAGGTCCGATTACTTGTGTTAGTCTGGGGCCAGGGTAGACAGACGGTCTGCACAAAATTCTACTGTGCATACAAGTCCGGGTTATGGAGCAGAACTGCCGACAGCAAACGGCATCTGACAGCTTGTGTGTGGTGTTCTGGTACACAGTAGATCCGCTGGAACGAATGACTTGAGTTTATTTGGTGGTTAGAACCCACTAACAAGCCGAACAATGCCTCTGAGCTCTTACGGACAGTCGCCTAGTCCTTTTTTCCAATATACCTTGCTCGAAACCAGCAAGAGAAATCGTACACACATTAGGAAATTTGCGACCGGGGTATCTTGTCTTTGAGTTGCTGGCGCACAACTGGTGTTGTGAAGTTTACGCGTAAGTCGGCCGCAAAGCACGTTTTGGCAGTGGCTACGTTAAGCCTTCGGGTGGTTCGCTGCGCTACCGCGTCACCCTTAAACGGTAACGATAAGTATAGTAAGCACTACTCTGCGGAAACAGATTTCATCGTCGGTACTTGTGGTTCCATGTGTTTCTGGATAAACTTTTCTGAGTAGCCATTACTTTCGAACACGCTTCGGATGAAAGTTAACTCATCCGAAAGCGAAACTTTTGTGCATATTCGTCTCGTTCTCTCCGTGAGACAACGGACCAGATTACGCTTCTGGCTGATTGGAACGAAACTATGGAAGTGGGTGTATTGCCCATTCCAAGTTCCCTTTCTGTGCACTCTCCTCCGCATTGTCCCGTCTGCTGCCCTATTGACGGGTGTCTAGAAAGGTCAAAGAGTTGTCACTTTCTAGTTCGAGTCGTTGTTATGAGCGGAGTTGAAGTGAGCCAGTAGTTCTTCAGTACACACCCCCATCGTTCGCGACACAAAAGATGTCTTCTACATATCGACCGTAATAAATCAAACTGTTGATGAACTCCATAATCTGGTTGCGTTCAAATTCGCTCATGAACACGTAGTCGAGTAACGGGCCTAGCGACGAACACATGGCCACCCCGTCTATTTGTCGGTACAGTGATCCATTAAACTGTGATTGGATGTTTCTCCTGCATGTCAGCAGCAGTTGTTTTAATCGATTTTGTGGGAGCCCGATGATGATGTTGTGCAACTGGATGAACTAGCATAGATAGTCTACAGTCTCTTCCAACGGAACATTGGTGCAGACCCTCTGTCTACCCTGGCCACAGACTAACACAAGTAATCGGACCTATCACGCCGTTCCCACAGACTCCATACAGTTCGGGCTAATCACCAAGCCTTACTGATGAGAAATTTTGATTTATTGACGCCTATAACTCCGGTGTTCATTTCTGATCTACATAGTTGTGGTTGTACTAGCCTGATGATGATCCACTAAAAACAAACTAAAGTTAGTGGTGACCGGATCGGATCGGGATTTTAAATGGGTGAGATAAATCGAATTTGGTCATAAAAAGAAAATCAACGAACGCATCAGCTCATGGACCACACGCTGGCACAGGCATCGTACGTTACTATGCAATGATGCAAATGGAAGAGAAGAAGAAGCTACTTAGTCGCGGCGTCTGGCTGCGCGATGGACAAACTCTTTGTATGAATATGAAAGGCACATTGTTTTCTATTCCCTCCTCCCAAAACTCTCTCGATCCGTAGAGATAATCTTGCATTCTTTGTTCGCAATAGAATAATATTTTCGCAGTCTCGTAAACAGCCGATATACTCACACTAGTTATCAGCTTCTTGCCAGCAGTAACAACGGAAACAACCTGTATCTGGTCAGTTGCAATAGTTTCGCAGATAATGTGCAACATTAGAACCCTAAAACAGATACGTCAATGGGCTGTACTTGCATGCGCGCTGAACTTCGTCCGTGCTGATAGGTGTTGCGAGGTTGGAAGTAAAATTCTTGACACTCACGCAGTTGTCGAGTTAACAGAGCCGAACTTAGTGTTCCGATGTCGTCTTCAAGTGCACGCTGACGATATGGCAGCGAACACAAATCAAGTCGAAGTGGGTAACATTTCCAGCTCCGAAGACTGCGTGTCTCCAGTTTAGTACTTGTTAGATCTTCAAGTTTTTCTCGCTATTCCGAATTAAACATCAAAAATTCGCCGCAAGAATTCTAGCCCAGCCAAAGAAAAAGCAGAAATCCAACGACCTTGACCGAGGAAAATGAATTAACAAACACACTGCCCAAATGCAGCCATAACGCCGCCCAAACGCTGTACAACTGTGCCAGACCTACGCCAAATATATAGGCAGCTCAATGGCCCTCGGTTTCTAGAAAACGAAGGTCAACTGGTAAAATTAGCAGCTTTCTTGCTAAAACTCCGTATGTTGGCAATCATATGAAATAATGGAAGGTTCCGGAATGTTCGAAATCAATACACAATCGAAGATAATCGAGTAAGTGCTAAAATAGTGGGTTTTCCTTGATGGTTTCACCTTTTCCCGGATAGTACCGTAAAAATAAGCTAACGCAAAGTGCAGGGGTGTGCTCTGTTTCGTCGCTGATGCCACCTATGATACAAAAAATGCAGTCCCGTTACTTAGAAAGGTGACTTCTGCTAAGAACTTGACAAGGCACTTATGCGGTCGACCAGTTCAAACATTGTTCCCGTTGTGGGAGAGGTGAATGAGTAAGCAGCTCTTCGACGCCTTTAGAAAGCGTATTTAGTTTGAGGTACAGATTAAATTCGAACGCGCCGTTAAGTAGAAAGAGACTATTGAAATCGTCATCCAACTGTCGCTTGTTCTTCCAACCAGAACCGCTTCTCAGCACAATGGAAGATGACATGCCACCCAGCGACCTCCGGTAGCTGGACGATGACGGGCCCAAATTGCTTACACCATTCGAAGCTTCAGGTGGCATGACTTCGTACTGAAATGACGTTCGTGTTTGAACAGGTGTCAAGACTTCGATTATGGGCGAACCCATTGACGATCTGCCTCGGACAATGAAAGGAGTTGCAGCAGACACAGGGAAACCGATTCAGCCCACAGTTACACAAGTTGGTCATGACATTTTGCGTACTACGCAGTCGGCTAATAACTCTAAGGAAATCGTCACCAACATCATTCTGTAAGTTAACGGAAGATGAGAAACACATCAGCTATTGTGACATCGTTTCAGCGGAACGCGACCTATGTTGCCATGTTTGGCATGAAGGATTCCGCCTGTGACACCTACTGACACTGTAATGGATGGGTGACATGTCGCAATCAGGAAGATGAACACATGGCATCGGGTATAATGGAAGCAGATAGGCTATCAGGTGTGAACTGAGACGGATCCTACCATCGGACAGGAAAACCTGGTGGACTTAAGGGGAGAGACCGGAACTCGGATAAGCTTCACAGGTTCTTCTAACCAGTTCGAGTAAAGAACCAGAGATTTGCAGCTGTTCGAGTGGAAGTTGTGGGTAGCAACAACAACCAACTCGAGATGATAAACGCTGCCTGGTGCTCTTAGTAGAGAAGCTTAAGGTGAGGCTTGGTTGACCTGTTTCCGACCAGCTTCGTGCGCATGTGGTGTTGGCTGATTTACGGACAGTCAACTCTGAGGCTCAGTTTGAGTCTAAGGTTTAAAACAAAATCAAATCTTCCAATCGTTTACGTGCCCCAAATAAGGATTTACAGTCGGCCGTGACCGCGCAGGACTAGTGCGTGAAGTGATCCTTGTCGGTGTGCAGTGAACAAGGATCTTCCAGCAAGACAGGTTGCTTGGTCTGAGCTTAGTAGGCGACTGGAGTCACCCGTATCAAAGCGTAGTGAATCCGACTGCTGCGACTCTCGCTGCTAGGATAGCAACCAATAGTAATGGTGAGAAAATGAGGTGGAGCGGAAACAGAGTACAACAACTGAATTAGGGAAAAGTGCGTAAAACGAATCAGGATGGAATGAATATTCACAGAAAAATGCAAGAAATCGATTGCAAAAGCGCCGCTAATTCCCTAATGCGCCATGTCCGTCTGTGTATCTAGTCATTGATGCGGACCGTCACGGAGCCCCCATTCACGAAGACAGCAGGCAGTAGCCTGATCAAGCCTCCGCATCAAGTTCCTCACAATGACCCGACACGGACTGGTCACGTCGCGATTTCGCTCAAGTTCTGACAGCGATAACATGTAATACGGGCCGAGGAAGGCGGTCAACTGGCATCCAGAAGGCATAACATAGAAACCGCAATCGGTTAAGATCTAACATACACTTTAGTGAGGGATTCGGTTCAGTGTCAAACGCCAATTGGTGGAACTCGGTATTGCTCATTCGGTTTCGTGACCGAAGACCAAGTGGCTGATATTCCGCTGTCTCCACAGATAGTAGAGCCCTGAAAAGTCATACGTGAGGCAACCTCCTGGGTGATGTGACCACTAGATAGAACGCAACTATTCATAGAAAAGGCTGCTGATCCTGTGACTAGACAAGTAGATCAGCCTATAGTGGATACTGGGGAAATTAAAAGCCAACTGTACATAGCTTGTACACCAGATTCGGTCAAGTTTAAAATGACCGTGGCCACTTAGTATCCAAGCTGGAGCGACTAAGAAACGAAAAGAGCACAGATACAAAAAATTCATTGCCCTTCCGACTCGCTGCTTTGAAGAACGTCGGTCCATGTGAGCTGACAAAAAACGGAACCAGCAATACAATAACCAGGTGCCACGAAAGTCAAGTGAAATTGCAGACACAATAACCAATTCGGCCCGATCCGAACATTCAGATGATGCGATCGTGGTGTTTAGGCTGAACTCGGAGCACGATTTGCCTGATCTAGGGAACAACGTCTATAACAATGTAAAGAGGAGATCAGGGGTGACAGCATATGATAGTAAGTTAACTTACGAATGAAGTGTCATCACGCCTCGGTGAACCGTCCGACAGGGGTATAACAGAATGATCAAGGCTGACACAATGATTAGTCAAAGAGGCCAGATCAATGCCCCTGGATTCAAAAAGCGTCCGTACCAGAACCGCTTTGGTGAACGCCAACACATACCGCTCGTGATGCAGCAGGAGCGTTCGCTTGTCAGGAGTCAAATTGATGTCCACAGTTGCTGCAAAAAGAAGAGGACCAACAGTTGTACTGTGTTAGGCGGTCTCATGATAACAAACACGGGGAAACACCAGGATGAAAAGGGAATTGGAGAATAGCAAGTTGTCTAGGGAGATGCCTTGTGTGAATGGATGGTGAGACATGCATTCTCACTTTGACCTGCGCCTCGATGAGCTCATTCACAGTAATTACATGTAAAGAATACAGAGGTAAGGTATCGTCCGCTACAAAGACTGCACTCTGCAACCGGTTTCATAAGATACGGCCATAGAGGCCGAATGCTAACTTCAAAGTGAATCGCGGTCCAGACTGAGATTCCGTGTAACATCATTATTATTATTATACACGATAGCTAGAGGTGAAAAGCCCCTCAGCTACTGTGCCGCAATACATAAAGAAAAAACAGCAACAGATTCATGCTAGCTGAGCTACCAATAACGCATGGGCATCGTTCCGGAAAGCTACTAGCCGGCTACTATGCAGCAAAAAATTTATCATGCAAAATTTGTACTATGCTAAAGAATGAGGTCGTGGTTGGAGTAGGAGGTCAAGCGGGATGGAGAGGGACAAAGAAACTCATAGTACGAATACCACCCAGGTCAGCTCCTAGCCATGCCAACAAGCGTATCCAGCCAAACGTGTTCATGGTTTTTGGGTTCCCAACCAGGGACACGAGAGGCTCCAACCGAGGTCAACGCCGAAGTGACGGCCTTCATTCCTCTCGACCAAGTCATCGCTTGGCCGCCTCTCCTCTTCTTCCATTCACACCTCTAAAGCGTAAACAACGCACGTCGCGGGAGTCGGTGGGCTAGCACGCGTAACACGTAGCCGAGCCAACGAAGCCTGGTGTATGAAATAAGGGTGTTGAGCGATCCATTTTCTTTTCCTATGCCATAAACAAGGCGTCCAACACGCTCGTTGCACACGCGGTGTCCCCATCAGGTGTGAGCCAGACTGCGAAGGCACTGGTGCTTGAACGTAACTAGCCTCTTTATGTTGACTGATCTAAGGGTCTGGGTTTCAAAACCGTACAGCTGCATTGTACACTCTACCCTTCAGGGAGAGAGTGATGTCACGCCAGAGCCATAGGTGGCGAAGGTTAGAAAAAGTGCCCCGTGCTTCTGCTATATGGTTTGTGACCTCGTCTTCAACTCCAAAGACCCTGATACAACTACCAAGTTGTTGAACTTTTTAACGACTTCTAGCTGATCTCCACCAAGGGTCACCGCAAGAGGCGGTCCATGCCAACCTTGGAGGAAAACTTTGCAATTAGAGCATGCAAAGCATAGCCCAAAACGGTTGATAGCCATTGCTAATCTGTCCAGCGCAGCTTGGAACGTTTGGAAGCTGTCACAGACGAGGGCAAAATCATCAGCATACTCCAAGTCAAAAAGTCGTTCTCCTGGAGCAGATCTGTGTACCAATTCATTCACACAATGAGTACTTCGAAACGACCTCCATTTGGTCAGTCACCATTGTGACAAGCGTCGCCCGCCACGAATCGGTGGCATGCGGCTAAATGCGTGAATCGGTAAACTTGACATGTTCCGACATCGAGTCGCAGTGCTAGTACCTTCAGCTGACGAACACAAATGAATACAGAACCGCACGTAAAGTGCAGTGTAACGAACAAGTAGCACTTGACATTCCAATACATTGTAGCGAAGGTCAAACACTCCCTAGGTTTGGCTCACTCATAGATCAATGGAAAGGAGAACAGCGGTGAAGACAGAGGGACAGTAAGGAGAAATGTACAACATATCTTTGTGTGGTAGGCAAATCTATGGAAAGTACGACAATTTTCACTGGAATAATAATAATGTCTCAGATGTACGCCGTAACGGCGCTTCGCTGCCGCGCGACCACCACCAGTCGCGCGCGGGCTGAGTATACCGCGAGGACGCCCACCCCTATGCGGATTCGAACCGGGGACCTTATGGTTGCAAACCAGTTGCGCAGACCACTCTGCCACCGGCCGACTCACTAGAATAGGCTCGCAAGTTACCGTGATATCAAACAGAGGGTGTCGTAAACACCCACAGGCCAAACAAAACACCAGGTAATCGAGGTAGGAGGCATGTGTCTGCTGGACTAAGGGCATTTTCGTAAGATTACAACGAATGTACCTGTGTTGGTAAAAAGTGAAACTTGTTGATTAGCTGTTACATCAGGGCAAATTTACGTTTCGATGCAGATGAGAAGCCAACCATAGCAGCCTTCGGAGTCGGTCCTCTCGCTAGCAGCTCGCAGAACTTCGGCCCAATGCAGCCTGAAAGCAATTGGTTAGCCAATGAGAGCGTTTGACCTTGTAGTTCACAAATGAGAATGGCCTACATTGAAATCCTTCAGTGAGTGCACTATTTGAGTGGCCAATAAGCGAATTTTCACACATCTAGCAGTTGTTAAAATGCATAAACTTTTCAACTAAGTCGTTCTTTCGTCAAATAATTAATTTGACCCCATATTTTGGCTGTACATACGGTCTGTCGGGTGATCAACTGAGGTTTTGACAGAGACCATGGTCTTCTGATCTGGGGAGTCGGTCGGAGCAGATTCGCGTAAAAGCAGCAAGTTTTCCGGACGGTATGCGGAAAATACAACACTAGGTGATAGGAAGGGGTCATTGGTGGAAAAATCACGTGCCAGATGTAGGTCGAAACATTATCGCTGCTCAACAAGAGTAACAACAAGTGCCGAAGTGAAAGAAAATTAACTGCAGTGACTTGAAACCATAACAAAAGGAATGAATAGTAGTAAAGCAATAAAAAATAACCTAAAAACACCAATTTCACCAAATGCAAGAAAGTCAATAACCACGTGAATGTACCATATTTCATGGCGGCACCATGTAGTTGGAGGTGGGTGGCTATGAAGTTAGTGACGGCTCATATAGGAACACATTGAGGTTAAAAGCAATGGAAGTATGCAAAATGTGGTAACGATATGAAATGTCAGTAAAACTGCTCCTCGAAATGCTAGGTAAGGTTGTCGATCGATCGATCGAGGTGTAACTGCTCTTCAGTTCTATCGGCCTTGTCTTCCCCTCCTCTCACAGAGAATACATTCCCATAAGTATTTTCGATAATGAGGAACAGTACTCCGCTCTTTAGATCACACATGTTGCCAACAAGCAATACTTACTGTGAAAAAGAAGACACACAATTCATAAACTGTTGTGAGAAGCGTTTTCGGTCGCGATTCAGTGGCTAAATGAGCAGCAGTTCCGGCTAACATCCCAATGGCCCCTCGGGTTCCATGCCCACTATATCCACCTAATGATATCGAACAGGCTGAAAAGCTGTCGTGAAGTGCAGTGTTTCCGGCCGAGCAACACCTAATATCCATCTACTTCATCAGTTACGGTCTCAGTGATCAAACTGACCGGCTTATTTTAATGCGAACAGCAGTTTACATGGAGATCGCGTTTAAACGACACCTCCAAACACTACATTCTGCTTCATGGAACAACAGGTCCTATACCACTGAGGTCGACTCGTGGCCTTAAGGATCACAAATCTGCCTGGTTACCTGAGGTCGCGAGTTCGAGTCTGCGTAGGGGACCGGGCGACCCTCGTAGTATCCTTAGGTCGCACGCGGCTGGTGATTGTTGTGCGACAGCGAAGCACCGGTACTGCGTACCGACGCAGCGCTGATACCTTATCCAACCAGAAGACCGATGGATTGCGTCTTATCTCTGAAACAGGAGTCAGTTACCCGGATGCTTGACACGATTCCAATCCCGTCCAAGCGAGATTGAAAGAGATAAAGGCATCCGGACAGTACACACGACGTGGAATGAACGTGTCGCCTGTTAAAAAGGTTGGGGGTTCCCATATGAAACAGGACACCTGGAGAAGTTAATAAAGACAGTGAAAAAAGTTAATAACCATTGACTAACCAGTAGGTAAATCGAACATCAGGATTAGAAACGGGAACTGGGAACAAGCACTTTGAATGGGCATGCGGATCCCGTCGGTGGAGACAGAAAGAGCTTCACGACAACAACGGCGCCACAAATCAGTGGCAAGTCGTGTAACTCTTGCCATGTCACAAGGCCGTTTGTTTATGTAAACAAACTGTCGATCGGCTGATGAACGACCAGTGGAAGACTGACGGCCTGTGGAAACCGGGGAATTATTTGCTGTGTCGTTTGCTGGTCTACTGATAAAGCCTTGCAGGCTGATAGGGCAGTGAAAGAAGAAAGATTGCGTTTACATGGAACAGTTCATTTATATCATAGAAGTAGAAAAACACAAAAATTACGGCAAGGAATAGCAGCAGGAAGAATTTGACTCAACGGACTAGGAGCGGGCAGTGACTTTGCGATTCCCTTGCAGCCGTACGATGCCAGTGGCGCTGTAGGTGTGAACAAGCTTTGAACCTCGTTACTCATATCCCTAAGCTGTTGAGATGGGGATTAACGGATCAGCAAAGTGGACAACGCGAGTTTGTTGCTCGAAGACGGCAAAAGCTACACAGATGAGCAACAAAGTAACACTTCAGCTACGGAGGATAGAAGACTGTATAAAAGTATAACAATGGAGCCCGTTAAAAATGCAAATAAGCAGAGGATGGAAACCGTGTACTCCCAAAGAGGGATACAAAGTAGAGCGTAAACGACAAGCAGATAGCACGTCATTACTTAACTGGTGAACGAGATGCTTGAAACTAAACAACTAAGACGTAGGATATGGAAACCACCGATCGAGCTCTCGCTATTCGGCGTTGCGCAGCTGGAAGCTACGGGTAGGTGCTTGACTGAATACAAATTAAGATATCGCCAGAAAGGACATTGGAAGACACTGTGCTACATGAGTCATCCGAAGAGCGATGCATATAAATTGATTGCCAGATACAAAAAGATGATAAATAATCAAGTGATTATACGGTACATGACCACTCCGAAGAAGAAGAGGGGGGCGGTGGCAGGAACACTCGCCACTGTGGTCAAAAATACCAGAAAGTAAAGATATGGCGCGAAAGGCTCTTTTTCGAGTGCCAGATATGTGTACTATGATATAGACACGTCATACACCACGAATGAAGTTAAAAGTGAGATGGGAATTTACACGAATGAACAGTCGCATTTGCATGGATAATGACGAAACATGTGGTTCTTGCTCAGTGGTCAAAGTATTCAAACGTCGGGATGAACAGTAAAATCATTGTGTAATCAAAAGCAAGAAAATCGGAAAACACAGGTTGTGTGATGAAGTCGTCACCTTGTGCACCCTCAACGAGCAATCATCGATGCAATCTATGTTAAGCACAAGAGGAACAGGATACCGTGGGATCGTGGTTAAATGCTGGTCGTAGTCTCAGTGTCACCAGCAATTGTTTTCACACGCAGGGTACCAGGAGCTCGTGATCAATAACAATGGCCGACGGTGCGGAGTAAAAAGCAGATTATAATGATGAAGCGATGGACCGTTGAGAATGATCAGTGCGGAGGTATCTCAGTGGGGCGATGTCCCATGTTCAACCAAAAAGCGAAAAGCTGTAGACGACTTCTTGTTAGCCGTTGATTAAACTGTGTTCGGTACCCACTGGTTTCCTACGCTAGGGTTCAAGAACACGCTCCTGAACGTCTACTTACCGAGACTAATATCATTTAGCGGCAGTGATCACAATGTAAATTGTGAATGCACCGACGGAGTTCTGGTCGTGTTTTGCAGAAAAACTATATATGGCCAGTTAAAATAGATGGCGAAAAACCTCTTCTGATTACCCGGAATTACTTCCAATATGGAATCTGCGAATGTCGCTTACCAAGCAAGTACTACTCCAGAATTGGCAGATGCCTGTGCCTTTCCTCACCATTGCTGGTGACTTCTTGGAACAAGTTCTCTGTTTTACTTATCCACAGAGTTGCATCACAGCTAGCAGCGGTGTTGGAGGTGGTCTCACAACGGATCGCAAAGGCCCGCCTTGCATTCATCAGATTGGGATACTTATGACGTCGTCGCGGTGTTAGTACCAAGCTGAAGGGCAGGGTAAACATTGCTTCTGTCCGTGCGATCCTCTTGTACGGCTGTGGGACCTGGCCCACTCGCTCGAAAGACATAAAACGATTGTCAGTTGTTGACAATCGTTGCGTAGGATTGCTCGCGTGCTGTGGCAGCATCACGTGAGCAACGCAGAAGTCCGAGACCGAGCGTATGGATCAAACAGCCCATGCCTCCAAACCGTTATTCTCCGATACCGCATGCGCTGCCTCGGCCACGTATTGCGCATGAAAGACTACCGCCATCCACGTCGAGAGTTATTTGCGCTCCCCGGAAACGAATGGAAAATGTGCCGCGATGGACAACCAATGTCGTCGGACCAGTCCGCCTTCCAGGATGGGAACCACGCGAGTCGGACTACCTGTGGTTAGAAAGGTTGGAAGTGGTGGCACGTAACAGACATCAGTGGCAACATTTTTGTTTAACCGCATTAGCTAATGGAACACCAAATCTCCAAGACACACATAAACTCAAAACAGCCCGTGTAAAATCCAAAAATTGTTTCCTTCTCATGTTGTATTTCGTAGCCTCCTTTCTTTCGCCATGATTCAGACAGCACATTGTCTGCTATCAGATTGTGAATATACATACGGCTGTTAACGTTCGAAACATGTACGGTTCAAATATATATAAAAGTTGCCAAAGACATTAGCAGTACGCCGGTACACAGTACCGACACTTCGCTGACGCGCAACCACCACCAGTTGCACGTGGACTAAAGATACTGTGAGGGTCGCCCTGTCCCCACGCAGATTCGAACTCGTGCCGTCAGATTACAAGGCAAACTTGTTACCATTGGACTGCCGGCGGGCGAGAAAATGTTGAGCAAATGACGGCACACAATACAAAGTAAATCCAACTGCAGTAATGAAATACGAAATGTGCGACGTCAGATTCGGTACTGGAAGAGGTGAGTGTAAAGCAGACTGAGCAAAAGTAGAATAGTAACAAGACAAACAAAACCGACTACAGTGTGTGCAGAAAAAAGTGAAATCACAAGTTCAAATGCCCGCGTAACTATGAACTTGTCCTCAAACTCAACCCACATCTTGAATCTAGTGTCGAGTTGCGATGCGGATAAGCAAAATCGGAGTTATTCTCTCTCATTCCTATCCATTCGTGTACTCCATTACACAATCCTCATTAAAAACTTTCCATTTGTTGTCCCCAGTATAAATAACAAGCACTGTAGTATTATAACCATCAAAAGCTCCTCATTGTGTCACACTGCCTGGTTCCCCTGGTGGAGATTGCCGTTTGAGGAAGGGGTGCGCATACATTTCTACATAATATTTATTCAGATGATCTATGCAATGTCACCGAAAGCAGAGTCCACGACGCTCACGGGGTTAGCAAATCAACAGTGATGGCCATGTTGTCTCACTACTGTTGCGTTGTGGAGCTAGCACGGATCCACAGAGTTCAAGCCGAGCTCAGACTCAATAACACGGTCACCATGCGGCGACTCAAACTGCGTAGATCACCGTTTAGCTCATCTTCCAAGGACATTGCTGCTATAGGTCAGAGCGACTGTGTAGATTGCACATAAGTTCTCTCCAATGACACTGCTTTATGTATTGTTTCAAGCCACACTGACCTCAGCTTGGCTCTCCCCAGTGAAATCATTGTATCTAGCGTCATGGGATATGCTGAACAACTGAGTTTTTCTAGATACTATTTGTAAGTTGCAACTTAGATGCCTTAGCAACATTTACTTTCCTCTATATTTGATGCATTCTGTTGCTATATTATTGTTATAAATACGAAGGCGCAGAAGGCATGTTTACTTTAGGGTGAATGAATAAATAAACTCTTGCTGTCGACCAGTCTTTCTTTGTTAAGTCTCAGTGCAGCGTGCGACGTCATGCGGTTCGTTTCCAGTCTCAGCTCGCGTGTATAACGTCTGACGGGTACCCTGCATGTATCTAAACAACTATGGTGTGTTATAACATATTGCGATACTCCAAGATCATTATTTAAGTGGTGATAGGACCCTCAACACAAAAAGACCAAGTTGTTAGAGGAGGTATGGAAGGAGGCAGCCAATCATTAGGAAGAATCGGTCATAGTGAAGAGTGGTCGGACAATTGTATTAACCATTGGGGTTTCAACCTGACCATGTAGACGACTGTTATTGATCTCCATTCTCGTCCGTCACCTCACTGCGAATTGACAGTTCCGTAGAAGAAGCAGTATGCAGGTTTCCATTCAAGTAGAGGTTATGAAGATGAAATCTCCAATCGGTGTTGCTACAGCAGTATCATATGTCACGCAAGAAATGTTCCTCGAATTCCTGTGGGTGTTCAACTCATCAAATTGCCCCGTCCTGATGGACATAAGCGTTCGGAAATGTGCATGCACTAGAACAGTACGGGTCACGTCCGGGTCTATGGCAGATTGTCTGATGCATTCGTGAAAACAAGTGACAATTTCCATGATCGGCCATCGCCGCATTTTCGTTCAAATACTCAAGTGTTTATCTGCACACCGAGTTTAGCAATCAAGCTGCATATGTCTCATTGCCACATGAGGTGACATTAGCAGTGCAAGTGATCTGTTCAACTACATTGTTAGCACCAACACGGAGTTTCGTCGTAGCTAGACTCAGCCAGACAGCCACCACACATTCAGGAAAACGCTAGACCGCCGTTTCGTCGTATTGGACCTCGTAAGTGGGGCGCACTCGCCGGATCCTGTAGGATTCGAACCCATGACCTTATCCTTAATCCAAAAACACAATCTCATACTACTCACTAATAGTCAATAATCGCCTTAGCTTACGTGCCAACTGGATTGGTGGTGATATGCAAAGATAGTCGTAGCTCTTTGGGTCAACCCTGTCTTTTGAATTGTCGTGACATATATGACAGTGGAGGATGAGCCGCGCTATATCGCAGATAGAAATCAGTCATGGCAATCCGGGGCCAGTGGATCATGGGCATAAATCGATGACTCGTCAGAGTAGGATAATGAATTCGAATCCGAATGGATCGACAGGTGCGCGATACTGACGAGTCCCCATGGGATGACACGGCCAATTAGCGTTTTTCTGGATGTGTGTCTGGCTAGGTATAGCTGCGACGAATCTTCTCAAAAAAATAAATCCCTACTACTCACTAATAACCAACATGAGGGGTCCTTTTTTGAGGTCTCGAGATGAAGGCATGGACTGGTTGTCTAGAGGATAACTGGTTGCACTGAACTAGGCGGACAACACTGTTACTGTTAGACTAAAGTGATCCCATCAATTGGTGTATAGCTCGAACCTTCAACATGTTGTGATTTTGCAGGAGCAGTGGGCACTCGATGACTTTTGGCGCCTGATGATGAAGCACCGAAAACGCCTATCCAACGCATCTTTCTTAGCATCCGCAGTAATGGATGAGTGGTAAGCTCAGCCACTGCACGTATGTTGAAATTCTAGAATGTGTTCTTCAATACGCAACATCTGTGATCACCACAAGATGAGATTTCGCTGTCGGAAGGGTCGTGCATGAATCAGGGCCATTCGTTTCCAAGGGAAAAAAGTTGGTCCCTCAGCCTGAGGTTATGAGCTCCGTCGATCGTCGCCGCATGCAGGTCCCTACTAATATTGGCGGCACCAGCGTGACCGTAACGATGAGACACATAAGTGGGTAGTAGGTTATGATAATCAGGTTAGCTAGATCAAAAATGGCTGACAGATTGTGGTTGAATGAATAATTGCTCCTAGTCCGCCGCTCACCTAGAAGAATTGCAGTTCAAAGAGGAAACTCCTCACTAGATAGATGGAAATAAAGTCTAAGAGGAAGTCCAAGCGAAGAACGTTGAGTTTAACTCGATACCTTTCTGCATATCGTCCGCAATTGAAACCAACGGTGTAACTGTTTTATTTCTCAGCTGTCTGCAGTTCGAAAGACGGTCAGTTATATCGGTGGAGTGAGCATGATTATGACATGGAAATAAAGAAAATTACAGATAAATAGTCTCACCAATGCCGCGGAGTTTCTCCACGATAACCGGCTGTTTGTACAACATGGTGTAGGCAATGAATAAGTGAATTGATTTTGAACGGTTGTTGGCGAATCTATGATTTGTACTAGGCCAAGTTCCCTACTAAAATTACTTCTCAGTAGAAAAGTGATCATAGTGTCGTAGCAAAAAAGTACCCGTATAAAGCACTAATGTCATTTAGGTGAGTGTAAGCATAGATGTGTGATCAACAAACCTGATAGACTTCAATTCTTCGGACGGTTTCAAATTGAATTCATCGAGAATTTCAGCAGGAATCTCATCAATATGGGCCAACTGGATCAAACTGTTCAACTGGAAAGTGAGAAAAATGAATACTTATCCGCTAATGAGAAACTACGTCTTTAAATCAATTGGATAAGGGGGAATGGTATGAATGCAGGGCGATATAGCATGACCTCGTCGCACAGGCTTCATCCAGAGGAAACAACCAATATACCACACAGCGAGTATGAGACACCCGAGCGATGAATCCCTTATTGCAAAATAGAACACCGAGGCAAAATAACAATTCAGTGTTCTCAGTGGAAGTGTCCTTGTACAGCTCAATGAGTCACGCTCGCTCGTCAATGCTCTTGAGAAATTACCAATAGCCGTCTCAGGCATGTTAGAGGCGCTATGAAGACAGGATTCGACTAAATTGGTTATCTTAAATTACCCATGAGTAGCAGGCGTTTAGTTGCAAATTTGTTAAGGTCTCATCCCAGTAGTTCACAAGCTACAGAGGGTTCGATAAGAGTCTTTCGATTCTGCTCAGTGGCTCGTAGATCAGCCGCGCAGGTCAGGGTGAGATTGGAGCGCACTAATTTGCCGACCCACCAATGGCATGTAAGTCTACTGTATTTACTCACCCACGCATGTCTGGGGGTGTGAATACGACGTGAGGACGCATAGCGGTGCATGTGTCCTTGAAATATGTTAATTACCCCCGGCGATTTGGACACCGCTCAGTTCGGATTGGGTCGCTGCCGACGTTTTTGGCTGGTGGTTTGCAACATCTCGACAGCGGTACATAATGCGTTGGCTACCGTGTTCAAATGTTGGTGGCGCTTCGACAGTTGCTTAATGTTATCCCAGCAAATGATAAAAGGGTTAGTGACAACGCTGTTGTGGACAGAATGTTACCTTCATATAAACCACCTTAGCAAAATAAGAATTCGTAACAATTAGACGGTGAAAATATGAGATGCTACTTCCGGAAAAGCTGTCGTTGACAAACTACTCCCGTCACAGTCTTGCTAACAATTGCAGGAACCAAGTGGGGTGCACGCTGTCTAATTTGTTGGATCTTTTCCAGTTAAGCCCCGCCACTAATCCAAAAAGAGCACGCGCAAAAAGTTAAGCCCCGCCACTAAGGCAAAAAGGGTACACCTGAAAAGTTAAGCCCCACCAATAGTGCAAAAAGGACACGCGTGAAAAGTTGAGCCCCGCCACTGTTTGCCAGCTCCAGTGTTCGTAATGCATGTGAACGTGCCCCATAAAAACACTCCTTATCCGCTTCTAAGATCATTTTTGTCCAAAAAGTTTCTACGTTCGCACGTAAAACCTGACATGAACTTTCTGACGCTTTCGGCGGTCGTTCATGACAAGGAAACAGCAATACGTTTTTTGCAAAGCCATGGAGTGATTCATCATCAACGTTTATGCAGATGAGGACACCAAATGACACTTGTAACTGTTTCTGACAGGTGGAGGTGTGATGCCCGACAGTGTCGGCAAGAAATTGGTCTTCGAAAGGGAACTTGGCTGGAGCGGTCTAGGATGGATTTCAGGACAATAATCCTATTCATTTATGGCTGGTCCAAAAATCTGACAACAATCAAATTTTGCTCAGAGGAGTTATCTATTGGCCACGCGACCGCTGTCGACTGGAAGAACTTTCTGTGTGAAATTTGCGCCTGGCAGCTTTTGCAGACTCCAACGATTGTCGGCGGCCCAGGTCTACATGTCGAGATCGATGAAACCCTAATATCACGTCGTAAAAACCATGCAGGGCGAGTCCTTCCCCAGCAATGGATTTCCGGAGGGATTTGCCGGGAGACTAAAGAAGTGTTCTTGTATGCAGTGCCAGATCGAACTGCGGCCACTCTGCTGGACACAATCCAGGCCTGCATCGCTCCCGGCTCAATTATCATTTCCGATATGTGGGCATCATACCAATGCATTGAATCGATGATTGGCATGAGTTATACTCATCAAACGGTTAATCATACCGAAAACTTTGTGGATCCAACGACTGGAGCTCACACACAAACCATCGAATCTCTCTGGCACATTTACAAGATGCAGAATAAGCGCCAATGCGGCACACACCGATCTTTAGTGGACAGCTACCTGTGTGAGTTCGTTTGGAGGCAAAGACACCGAAAAATGGACCTTTTCATGCAAATTATTAATGACTTGTCTCAATTTCACCCTCTTCAATAGAGAGTAAAAGTTCAAGTTCCATATCCTCCCTTTTCATAATCTTTTTTGGGTGGCGGGGCTTAACTGGAAAAGATCCAATTTGTTTAACAGTGACCGTGACGGTGTAACATGAAAGGCTGAGTGTCGCTCAGTCTCTCAGGAAAACGTAGGTGTAAATCAAACGAAATGATCGTTACATGCTGCCGTGTGTGCCAATTAAGAGGCTACTCGCTGCACGTATTTGTGGAGAAGGACTGCCGATGAAATCACATTGTATGCGTCATTGCACAAAACCGATCGAGGAGCTGTGTCTAAGCTAAGCCCAAGAAGATGCCATCAATTGCACATAATCACACCCTGTCCAGAAACAGCTTGGGACAAATTTGTGGGCACGTTCACATCCCTAGTCGCGAAGGCATCAGAACCGAAAGCTTTTCATCCTCCCCTCAAAACGAAATCTTTTCAGAGAAGCCGAACACGAAAATATATGGCCTTGAGGGACCGGACTTGGTATGGTTATAGAAACAATCGCAGTTCAGAAAATTGGACGGTGTACGCAACTCAGGCGAACGACTCTGTGCACTTGGTGCGTGAGGACAAGTTCACAAACTAGCAGTTTGATCCGGCGTAACATTCACTGCGGAAACGGTACTGAAAATGCCATTATCCTTGCGTACACACAGATCTCTTGGAGTGGACAATATCCACCCCAAAAGCACTAAAGGTAACAATCACGCACCTAGCCGGATTATTTCAGCCATCTCTGGACTGCAACATAGCTCCGTCGAAGTGGAAACTAGGTTTCATCAATCCTATTCACATGGGAGCAAGTCGGTACGAGCCTGCCAATAACCGCCCGGTAATTTTCTCCCGGTGTTCGCCAAAGTTATGGAAGAAATTCTGGCCGACGCATTGACGGGCTATGTGGAATGCCATGGTATCTTTACGATCTAGCCAGTGTAATCACCCCAACCCTGTCGGCCAACGAGACCTTTCGGCGCTGAGGCCCATCTATAGGTACAACGATTTCTTCCGTGTACGCTGCTCACGTTAACGTCTTATTCTCTTCAGGCAACTCCCACAATATTCCCTCCACACTGACGCAATATCGTCACCATTAGCCATAGCAGCGATTTAGTCCTGAAGTCAATGGTTGTGCGAAAGATGTATTGAAATGCAGTACGTAAAACAAGTATAACAATCAACGCAGTAGATGCTCGAAATGCCCACCGCCGTTTTGCTGGCACAGCAGCATTCGCCGGATGCTGTTGGCTATAACCCTCTGCAATGCGTCAACCGATACCGCGACATTCTTCCACGATGCTCCGCTTCAGTTCTTCCACACACGTGGCTTTCACTTTATAAACTCTTCCTTTCATGTATCCCCAAAGGAAGAAATCAAGGGGATTCATATCCGGTGAACGTGCCGGCCACACCATTGGTCCTCCCCGACCAATCCATCGATGACCGAATGTGTCGTCCAGGAACTGACGCATGGTTTGTGCTGAATGGGCCGGTGTACCATCCTGCTGCCACCAAACCGTACTCAACAGTCCTTCCACATGCAACCGCGGAATCATCCACGTCTGCAACATTTCTTTGTATGAAGAGGCTAAGAAGTGTGATTTATTAGTTCTGCTACACAACTTACCCGTCACATTTTGGGAAAAGAAGAAAGGTCCGACGATTGTTCGACTTGTTAGTCCAGCCCAGGCCATGAGCTGTGTGCCATGTTGCACACGGGAAGCGATGCATTGCCGTGGGTTATTGGTGGCCCAAACATGCCGCTTCTGTGTACCATGCAGACGGAAAATGGCCTCATCGGTAAATATGATGGAATGCATGTCCAAGGTATTCAGGTACAAGCGAGCGAATGTAAAACGATTCACCGAATCGTCGTGCTTTAACACTTGTACCTGCAATGCACCAAACCTTCGAAATTTTCTTACCTTCAATATCCGGTGCACAGCATATGGTGTAGTGGCACAGTGTTGGGCGATTCTCCGAATGCTGAGATGACTATTTCGACGTACCTCTGACAACAACACCAACGGCCAGGTGCGTGATTGTTACCTTTAGTGCTTTTGGGGTGGATATTGTCCACTCCAAGAGATCTGTGTGTACGCAAGGATAATGGCATTTTCAGTACCGTTTCCGCAGTGAATGTTACGCCGGATCAAACTGCTAGTTTGTGAACTTGTCCTCACGCACCAAGTGCACAGAGTCGTTCGCCTGAGTTGCGTACACCGTCCAATTTTCTGAACTGCGATTGTTTCTATAACCATACCAAGTCCGGTCCCTCAAGGCCATATATTTTCGTGTTCGGCTTCTCTGAAAAGATTTCGTTTTGAGGGGAGGATGAAAAGCTTTCGGTTCTGATGCCTTCGCGACTAGGGATGTGAACGTGCCCACAAATTTGTCCCAAGCTGTTTCTGGAATACACGGACAGGGTGTGATTATGTGCAATTGATGACATCTTCTTGGGCTTAGCTTAGACACAGCTCCTCGATCGGTTTTGTGCAATGACGCATACAATGCGATTTCATCGGCAGTCCTTCTCCACAAATACGTGCAGCGAGTAGCCTCTTAATTGGCACACACGGCAGCATGTAACGATCATTTCGATTGATATACACCTACGTTTTCCTGAGAGACTGAGCGACACTGTCAGCCTTTCATGTTACACCGTCACGGTCACTGTTAAACAAATTGGATCTTTTCCAGTTAAGCCCCGCCACCCAAAAAAGATTATGAAAAGGGAGGATATGGAACTTGAACTTTTACTCTCTATTGAAGAGGGTGAAATTGAGACAAGTCATTAATAATTTGCATGAAAAGGTCCATTTTTCGGTGTCTTTGCCTCCAAACGAACTCACACAGGCAGCTGTCCACTAAAGATCGGTGTGTGCCGCATTGGCGCTTATTCTGCATCTTGTAAATGTGCCAGAGAGATTCGATGGTTTGTGTGTGAGCTCCAGTCGTTGGATCCACAAAGTTTTCGGTATGATTAACCGTTTGATGAGTATAACTCATGCCAATCATCGATTCAATGCATTGGTATGATGCCCACATATCGGAAATGATAATTGAGCCGGGAACGATGCAGGCCTGGATTGTGTCCAGCAGAGTGGCCGCAGTTCGATCTGGTACTGCATACAAGAACACTTCTTTAGTCTCCCGGCAAATCCCTCCGGAAATCCATTGCTGGGGAAGGACTCGCCCTGCATGGTTTTTACGACGTGATATTAGGGTTTCATCGATCTCGACATGTAGACCTGGGCCGCCGACAATCGTTGGAGTCTGCAAAGGCTGCCAGGCGCAAATTTCACACAGAAAGTTCTTCCAGTCGACAGCGGTCGCGTGGCCAATAGATAACTCCTCTGAGCAAAATTTGATTGTTGTCAGATTTTTGGACCAGCCATAAATGAATAGGATTATTGTCCTGAAATCCATCCTAGACCGCTCCAGCCAAGTTCCCTTTCGAAGACCAATTTCTTGCCGACACTGTCGGGCATCACACCTCCACCTGTCAGAAACAGTTACAAGTGTCATTTGGTGTCCTCATCTGCATAAACGTTGATGATGAATCACTCCATGGCTTTGCAAAAAACGTATTGCTGTTTCCTTGTCATGAACGACCGCCGAAAGCGTCAGAAAGTTCATGTCAGGTTTTACGTGCGAACGTAGAAACTTTTTGGACAAAAATGATCTTAGAAGCGGATAAGGAGTGTTTTTATGGGGCACGTTCACATGCATTACGAACACTGGAGCTGGCAAACAGTGGCGGGGCTCAACTTTTCACGCGTGTCCTTTTTGCACTATTGGTGGGGCTTGACTTTTCAGGTGTACCCTTTTTGCCTTAGTGGCGGGGCTTAACTTTTTGCGCGTGCTCTTTTTGGATTAGTGGCGGGGCTTAACTGGAAAAGATCCAACAAATTAGACAGCGTGCACCCCACTTGGTTCCTGCAATTGTTAGCAAGACTGTGACGGGAGTAGTTTGTCAACGACAGCTTTTCCGGAAGTAGCATCTCATATTTTCACCGTCTAATTGTTACGAATTCTTACTTTGCTAAGGTGGTTTATGTGAAGGTAACATTCTGTCCACAACAGCGTTGTCACTAACCCTTTTATCATTTGCTGGGATAACATTAAGCAACTGTCGAAGCGCCACCAACATTTGAACACGGTAGCCAACGCATTATGTACCGCTGTCGAGATGTTGCAAACCACCAGCCAAAAACGTCGGCAGCGACCCAATCCGAACTGAGCGGTGTCCAAATCGCCGGGGGTAAGTAACATATTTCAAGGACACATGCACCGCTATGCGTCCTCACGTCGTATTCACACCCCCAGACATGCGTGGGTGAGTAAATACAGTAGACTTACATGCCATTGGTGGGTCGGCAAATTAGTGCGCTCCAATCTCACCCTGACCTGCGCGGCTGATCTACGAGCCACTGAGCAGAATCGAAAGACTCTTATCAAACCCTCGGTACACAGCAGTCTAGATTGAATTACGTAGCCCAGCTAACATCCCCCGTGCCTCCGTGGCTTAAGCTGCTGGCTAGTTGGCATCTGCCCCTAGCTGTCATGGGTTCGATCACTAGTAAGGGACCGAAGGAATGCGCACCACTGACGAGCCCCAATAGGGCGAAATGCGTCTGGTGCTTTTCCGGACTAGGCTGTGCTATATAGCTTGCGAACTACTGGGATGAAAACGTTAACTAAATTGATTATTTTAAACAAATGCAAGTGATCCACGTTGCGAGGCCATTGCCGATATGCACGGGAAATCATTTCAATGCCATGCCATTCCGACAGAAAAGGGTCCCTGTTTCGAATAAATATGGAATCCGAGCTATCTCAGTCAATAACCTTAACAGGAAAACCTGAACACTAACGGTAACCACGGAGACGGTACAGATATTGCTGTCTAAGGCGAATTGGTAGTGCAACAGCTAGGGCAGCTACTAAAAATAGTTATGAACCGATTCAGCCAATCCGGAGGTAGGTGCCGGCGTCGTGTCAGGGACTACAAATATCTGGAGATAAACATGACGCCTTTTTCATTGAACATTTGATCCAATTGCTCTTCGAATTGCGGATGGATTCTACCTCCTTCTGGACAACGTAGATGCTACAAGTGAAGTGACTAAGCGTTTTCAAACGCCTTACGCTAGTGGGTCCCTACAAGTGGTTACAAGCAATATTCGTCTAGTCAATGGATAGTTAATGTTCTAACACTAACGGTATAGTTTCCATCATTGTGAGTTCAAATGCCAGTTGAGGTAAAACTGAAGCTGTGCGGTACACATATCCCGAAGAAAGAAATGATACGCTGATATACATTAAAACACAATCCGAATCCAAGCATGTGATCCACATCTGGTTTTGACTCGCACCGTGCCTGGATGACAGCGACTTGATCAGTAAGGATCCATGACGGATCTCATTTGGTTAGCGCGCGGTAACAATGCTGAGGTCAAGCAGAGATAACATTTGATATGCCGACGATGTGGACGTACATCCAAAAGTCCACAAGGGAAAGGTCGGTGGAGAAACTGTCGCCATACGACATCGAGTCGATACTGGAAACGGAAACATCACAATCGAACGCAAGAGATGCTCGGCGCGTTGGATATGGGTATAATAAAGGTCGTCTAAGTTCTATGCCGTGGTAGGCAGAGCATCAGTAGGCGCCAAAATAAACGATAATAAAGAACATGAATGTAGGCAACTCATGCAGCGTCCTGTCTCACTTGCGCATATCCGTAGACAGAGGAGATATTGGTTCGGATGGAGTCAGCAGAGCCGTTGGAGACGACCAATGATTTTTCCCTGTGATAAACAACGTTTTGGTGCATGAGATAAACACAGTTAAAGGTCGAAACGAGAAAAGATCACGCAATTGAGAGAGGATTAAAAAACAAGGTACAGTCATGAAGGTGAAAACATCGATGTGAACAAGATAGTTCAAATCTAATGGTATGTTCGGTGAGAGCTGAGCTAATAATGTGGAGCAGAACGATGAAAATAACGTTATCGTGTTTGCTGGTTCAACAAAACGTGGAACAAAGATCGGCATTCGCATACCCCCGATCGAACAAAGAAATAGGGTGAAGTTATCAATCTCAAGGAAAATAGAAAGAACGGTAAATTCAAGGTGAACAGTGGAGCAACATGACGAAAAGAAAAACTTATGCACTGGTGCGGTGAGCAGTTGATGCAAGCGTCACAGGGTACATTAATTATTCTTAAATGAGTTGCAGGAGAAACCCGCGGCATTCTTGGGCACATTAGGATTAGTTAGGAAGAAAACCACCTTAAGAAGTGCTGAAGCCAACTGATAGAAAGTCAGTTACACTACGAGGATGAAATAAGGTGCAGAAATCGGGTGGTAATAAGATTTAGCAGCGGGAAAATCAGTCGAACTCTGATCTATACTAACGCTGATGCGGTTGTACTCAAAAAAGAAAAGGGGCATCTCGCTCTATTGAAGGATACGCACATCTTAATTTGATAGCAAAAGTAGAGAATCAAGTGTACTGCATGTGTAATAAAAGTTTGTAACAAAAAGAGATCACACACTAAGAATGAGAATATGGTTAAGTATAAGGATACAAGTACAAGGATAGACAACATACCCAGATGTTGTGAGCCGATAACAAGTTATTTGAACCCCAGCGGCACCAAGACAATAAGCAGTCAATAAGTTCACCAACTTGGTGAATTCCTTTGCCAGGTGCTTGGGGTCTAAGAGCTGGCGCCGGCGAACCGGAAGATCGTGGAATAATTGGTTCACGATAACCGTGGTGCCGGATGGTCGCGCAAGTGGACGCCGAGATGTGATGTTCCCGTTGGAATCAAACTCCACGCGAGTCCCAACCGCAGCATCAGCAGCGCATGTGTGCAAGACAACTTTCCTAGAAAATAGTGGGAGAGAAAAATGAACAGCATATAAAAACGGGCTAACTACCGGAAAATGTAAAGGAAGCGGCATTTTAGAGACCTGGGATGGATGGGAAAGACTGCTCAGGCAGAATGGAAATTTGGCTGAGGGGTGTCGTGGTCATCAGTTGCAGCATACAGCCGATATGATCGGCAGGGAAGTTACTTAGACCGAACGTAGGTTTTGAAATTAGCTCAAAACGGCAGCATGGAAGCGATGGAGAAAAGTTTCAGAAATGTATAAAAGGAGGCGTAGGATACAAGTGAATGCCAATAAAGGTTTAAAAAGCATGCCGATTGGTGACACTGAGAGTATGGGCCTTCAAAGCACAAACTGGAGCCTGCCAAAGTCCGAAACGATGGTAGCGATTGACACAAGTGCACCGAAAAACAGCGCTGGCATAGGACAAGTACATCGAGATACATCCTCATCCGTTCCCAATCTAACGCAAATATGAGGGGCCGACCAACATAAAGTAACTGTTGCGTACAAAGAATTGGATTTCTAAACATTAGGTTCCTGTACATTAGCTATCTATAAGCGAATATCATTGATAATACGTTGAAAAGTGATGTATGGTAAGCATACATTCCAGTCACAGAAAAGATCCCTCTATCTTGCGCCTTTAATATGACTCAGATGTTAGACCAAGATCATATGACGAATAAACAACTTTTCCTCACAGTTTGACTTCTATGCTCGCTTTGCCCCATTTTCGTGCGTTAGTTGGGCTGTAACTACTGAAATTGTCTCAAAGACATCAGCAGCATTGCAGCACACCTTATCAATGCTTCGATGTAACGTAACTACTACCATGGGTCACGCGTGGGTTAGGGCACATCACGATATCGCCCGCATGCACACATAGTAGAACCAGTACAACGGAACAATGGTTTAAAACGGGTAAAAAAGCACAGGCTTAACATGTACCATAGGTTGGCAATAGAAGTACCTGAAATTCAAATAGTACATAAGTGGTTCAAATGAAATACGCATTTGCAAAGCGATAGAGTAAATTCGTTAAGAGGGAGGGTGAGATAGTATAGGCAAAACGAAATAAAAAGTTGTGGTTTTTAATACTCATGGCAAGTAAAAGCAGAGTGTGTACCCCACTGCACAAATTTACGTGCTTCACGGTGAGTCGTAATTCCAAAGCGGCTAGTTAACCAGAGTAAATCCAGAATATCCGCAGAGCGTTCAATTCGATATCCAATCGTTTTTGTTTTGAAAGTAGCTAGTGTGGGAGCACAGACAACTGTTTGGAAGTATGTTTCAGGGTTGGCAGACCAGGACGGATAAGTAATTCCGTCGACAATCGAGACAACTGTGTTGTTGACTCAGTTTCAGGTCATTGCCTCTGAGGATGGTGTTCGGGCTGTTTCAGTAGGTGGCGGCATACATGACTGGGGTCGCTCAGTATCTGGTAAACAAATATGAGGTCTTCAAAGAACCGCCGGTAGCGTCCAGTGAACACTCCGAGTGACTTCAGTTGTCCCTGGTAGGGAAGGTGGCGAAATTCCCTGGCAAACTTCGTTACTCGACGTTGGGGAGTTTCAGGCGCGCAGGGTCATGCTTTAGCTAACGTTGCCAAGCCTGGATTGCGTATTCGAGGTGGGGACACACATAGGTACTGAGCATTAGAGTGAAGACGATTGGATCCAAACTCCCGAATACCCTCCGCGAGAGACCAACATGCTGTCTAGCTATTTTGAAGAGGACTCTCACACTCTCGAAAAACCGAGGTTGTCCTGTACCAGTACATCGTGGTCACGTTCCCGAGAGCTTGTCTGCAGATCGTGCGCCTCAGTTTCGTAGATGTAGGCGTATCGATGGCGAAAGTGGAGAAGGCGGCACCTGTTCACATTGAATGACAATGCGTCCCTTACCGACCACTGCCAGACGTTATCGAGATCGCACCGGAGTATCTCGTAGTCGTCCATTTCCTTGATCACCCGCCAAATTTAAACGTCGTCCGCAAAGAGTAAAAAAGTTGAGGTGACAAAGATCGCCAGATCGTTAAGAAACATGCGAGGCTCAACTACCTAAGCATGTGGTACGCCGCATTCCACTCGAATCCGGTCGGAGAGAGGTGCAAATTCTAACCGTTAATTGCTGTTTATGAAGGAAGTTACCGATTCATCCTAATACTGGATCTCCGGTGCAGTGGTGCTGAGGTTTGTGCAGCGGGATTGGAGGATCCAGGTGATCGGAAGCTTTCGAAAGTTTCAAGAAGAGAACATCGGTCCCTGACCTCCGTCAAGTGCTTCAGTCCAGTTGTCACGTGCTACTAACAGGTTCGTAATACATGCACCCCTGGCGCAATGATATCGAAGCTTACCAGGTAGCTCATCAGTACGTCGCGATGATCGCTTCCATGACCTTGGTGAGCACAGGGAGAAGCATTACCGGATGGTAACTGACAGGATTCAGACCAACTTCTTCTCTTATGAATGGGGATTATAATACCACGTTTTCACATTGACGTAACTATGGTTTCGCCTAGATAACGCTGAAAGAATCCAACAAGTGGGTGGGCTAGGTGCATTGCTGCCACCTGCAGTGCTTTGGGGTGAATGTTATCCACTCCAGATGAGCTATGGGTACGCAAGGATAGTAGCTTTCTCAGCATTATTTCTGGTGTGAATGTGATGCTGGATAACACTGATGGTGTGGTGACAGAAGCAAGTATAGTGTTTGAAGCTTGTACTTCTTGGAAAGTAGTCAAGTACTTGGCACGCAAGGTGTTGGCTGCCTCTTCGCTGTGTGTGTACACACACCAATCGTAGTAAGTAGTGGGATTTCGCGCTGCACCTTTCGAAGTTCATGCACGTCCGTAAAAAAGCTTGTGGTTGGAACAGAAGCGTTTGGGTAGCTCCTGTTGGTATGATAACTTGTCCTCACGAAGCAAATGTACAGAGTAATTGTGCTGAGCTACGTACGCTGTCCAATTTTCGGTGCTGGGACTGTTTTTGTAAAGGCGCCATATCCAATCCCACAAGACCAAAAATTTTCGTGTTCGGCTTCTCAGGAAGGACATTTGTCTGATGGGACGGTGGAAAGTTTTTAACTGATGCTTTGGTGATTAGTGACGTGAAGACTTACAGGAAATTTTCCAAGGCTACCTCTGGGATGAACAGTCATGAATGTCCAACTAGCACTTTCAACGAATGTGGACAAAGCGTGCATTTACCTTCGTATTTTAACCTTATATAATTTGTACCGGCCCGTAGATGAATCATTGAAAACAAGTGTTTGCCTCAGACTGGTGTTCTTGACAAATGCGTAATAGATTGCATCTTTTCGAGCTCTGCATCGGGGTATTCGGCGTAGCAAACACAGTATAGTCACATGATCGCTTCGACCTAGAGGACTGCATACTATTAGTCTACCAACCATGTACTCCTCGCTGATGAGCACTTGATTTAACATTGATAGCTTATTCGCTGGACTGAACCTGTTGGGATCGGTGACGTGGTTGTATAGGGGTGTACTACAGATTAGCTCTTGTAAACAGGCCTTAAACTGTTCCGCTTCGGTTGCTGGAGTTTCCAAATGATAGGTGTTGAAATCTACTGTAATGAGGATATGGGTGTATTCCTGATTTATCACAATATGAAATGGATTTGGATGGTCGGTAAACTACGGAGACGAGGTATGTATCGTCTCCCTTCAAGTACAGTTTTCGCAAAAGATCAGTGACACATTTGAGGATCACCTATAAGCTCACAATGAAGGTTTGCTCTGTAATAAAGGATCAATCAACCTCCCCTACCCGTTCTGTCGTTCCGGAGAAGCGACATACCGGGTACGGCGATTTCAGCGTTGGTAATTTCACAGCTCAGCCACGTTTCGGTGACCAGTATGATATCTAGAGACTCGGATGCCTGATGGCGTTCGACCAACTTACTAATAAGGTCTTGTGCAAGCAGGTCAGTTCCTCAGTAACCAAAAGTGAATCATTGGACGTTGGACCAAGATGGAAGATGAGTGGTCGGCCCCTAGCCGTTTTGCGGAGTCGTTAGTAGTTGAAGTTCGGTCGGGTTATAGGACTGCTCTCGGCTGGCCTGACACTGATGGTCTCTTGTGTTTTGTCTTATTCCTTCGGATGTCAAGCATACCATTAAATCAATCGCTGCATATAGCTCTTTGAGGGGAAGATTCGTCAGTTTAGTCGTCTCCAATGATTCGTGTACCCGCTGCTTTTAACCGAACTTCTGTAGGTAACCTCTTGCGGAATTTAGACTAATTATCCAATACAAGCGGTGTCATTAGCTCAGACTGAAGTAGCACCTACATCCTCTGGGGACCATTACACTTGTAGTTGGATGAAACTGGAATTCTTGTCAACCGCTTTGCAACGATACTGTCGAGGGAGAGTTCCTGGCAGATGTAACTCCATTGCTCCCGGTCGTGTGTCTCCGCTTCCTCAGAGGAGGATGTTTGAAGCGCAGGAACACTGTAAACAATAATCGCCCGTTTTTCGTCAGATTTATGAACTTCTTCCCGGTTGCTATTCTCTTTAGGACGTTCGTTCTAATGGATATCCGGAAGAATGCGCATCACATGTGATGAGTTACAGAGCCGAATTGAAAACAGTAGAACGGCCTCTGAATCATCAGTGGAACACACTGTCACCCGGAGAAGCCGAAATTCACTGTAATGCACTGAATTTGGGTGACGTGGAAGCCGTCTCAGTGTCATGCGCTCAACTGCAAGGCCAAATGCACCACAAATGGAATTCTACTGATTATGGTCAGCCACCAGCTTCCCTTTAATGATATTAGACTGCGATTAAGGAACGTGCGTGCACAACAGTCAAAGCACCGCGATTTCTTTTATTAGCTGCAGGTTTGAGGGTATTAATGGATGCAGTCTTAAACGTTCTAGTTGCCTTTGGAGGTTGTTTCATCCTAATGTTGCTCGTTGATGCTACCGGAGTCGGTGTTCGCTCTGGCGTTCGCGTGGAGGAAACTGATGCGTACAATGCGGGTCTTTTCCCTATGGTGGACGAACTAGGGCTCGAAGCTGCCACGATCACCACTGGCTTGATGTAGACTGCACTGCCAAAAGGAGTGGAGGTAAGCATTTTTGTGGCTGGTTCGCTTATGGGAGTGAGGTGAGCCAGAGGACTTAGAGTCACAGACACCGCAGTGTGGTTGGAGCGTCCGGCTCTTTTCTTCCGCTTAGAGGCGCGGCTTGGGTTGGCTGGTTGAGGTATTAGCGTGGTCAAACTTACCTCCGAGGGAGCGGTCTTAGTATTCACTAAATGCGCGATTAGCAGTCAAGCTATTGCACTTCTTCATGAGCAATGATAAACAGCTGACGACTGGAACGATTTGACATGTCGAACAAAATCAAAGGTATCAGCAGCTATGTTTATCTGTCACGCTTCTTGGACGGACTTCCCTACGCATTGCGAATAGCACGACTTAATGCAGCTAGAACAGGTTACCCCGATCCTAAGGACTATATTGTAATCCTCTGAAGAGCATATGCGGCGTTGCGCCATGTTTGGAATGCTGACTGCGCTGTTGTCGTTTACAGCTAGGTCTATGCAAGTTATCGTTGTGATACTGGAGCTCACGTTTGGTGTGTTCTGAGCCAGACGTACACGTGACACACAAACACATCAAAACACGCACACTAGATGAGATGGCTGACGGCCGGCGGATTGAACACGTCAGACCTTGCCGTGACTTTGGCCGTTTGTGAACACCCGTCAGATGAGCGCTAATTAGAGTGGTCAATGGAGCGAAGGATGTTGCTGCGCTGGTCACCGGTGCATTGGTTGACAAGGTCACAAGGAGTGGCGACTGTATTTGGGTAATCGATCAATTCCAAATGTATGCTGAGGAAACAGCATAATAAGGAACGCGAAGCAGCTGCAGCAAATGGTATTAGGGAAGAATGATTTTTGGTTGACTTGATCGCCACGAAAATGAACTTTCCAACGAGTGTAAAAAATACAGTGTTTGAAAGTGGATTATTGCATTGGTGAGTTTGAGCAACGAAATAGGTCAAAAAGGCAGACGTGAATCAGAGGTTGAAATGATAAGAATACTCAGGAAGACCGGTAGGCAACTTGTAGGGCTGATAAATCGGAGTCGAATGAGTGTCAGCGCAACGATGTGCAACACTGTGGTGAAGTATGGTTCACAAAAAGACAGGGGCGTCGATTCAGACCGACAGTACTCAGGCGAATGACAGCAACCTACGGATTATTAATCTTTTCATTCACCGGCCGATTGGTTTTAAGAGAACATCGAAGCCGGTTTCATGAATATATATAATGAGCGCCATTCAGCCACCTAAGATCCCTATAAAGCACAATCCCAACGACGCAAAAGGCATGGACAGTACGTCGGTACGCAGCATCGACGCTTCACTGCCGCGCAACCACCAATAGTCGCACGTGTGCTAAGGACACTGCGAGGGTCCCCTGGTCACCACGCAGGCTGGAACCCGCGCCCACGGATTACAAGGAAGTCTTGTGATCCTTAAGGCTACGGGCCGGCTCACAACGACGTGAACGAAGATATTATCAGGTCAGTAAGTGACGGGCGCCATATAAGCCATGGAGTGACTGGTGCGGGAAGGAATCCTAAAGCAGCTTCGGTTGAGCTGCCGGCTGTAAAGACTAAAGCTTCTGTCATGAAACGCGTTGGCTTTTATACTGTGGATTTTTATCAGCGATCCACTTCGTCTAACAGCAATAGCAATGAGCTGGCGACAGTTCTACCAGAAATTCAGGCTGCAGTCACACAGAAGATTGCCCGGTGTCACTGAGGGCAGTGTTTGCAACGCTAGTTCAAATACTGCCACAAGCGATTATGTCAATATATTTTTGACGCCATTCAGTTTCTGGATGCTAAGCACAGGTTACGTACTTTTAATCGCGTCCAAAGAATAGAACAATCGAAGTAAGGATTATTAGCATTTAGAAACCTCATCAATAGAATAATCCCAACGAAAACCGTTGGACAAGTATTATCAACCCTTGAAGTTGACCAAAATATAAAGTAGATAGGCTAGTTTCAGCAAAGAAGGCACGGGAAGCAAAGCTCTGTGAAGGAAAACGATAGGAAGCAAGCCTGAAATCACAACTAAAATATAAAGTGAAATACGACTACAATACTAACAAGTAACTTCTGAATTAAAAAACGGTAAGATAACAATTGGCTAAAGCGGGAGTTTTCTGAAACGTTTGCAGTACACGACGGAACATAAATGAGTAAACACTCACGCAAGTTGACATAAGGAAGACAAAGCTTCACCACGAAAACCGAAAGTGTTCACCGATTGAATGCCGTCAAAGTCTCGCAACTTGGAAGTTGAATGTCTCCTGCCTAGAGTGTAGTTAAATACCCGCAAATAAACACTCTCCTACTAATTGTCTCAAAGTCCGCTTCCTTTATCCCATGTCCGTTATCAAGCACTTCAATCGATTCGCTGCCATGCTCTTTAAGCTTTATTTCTGATCAAATGTGGTTGAAAAAGCGACATGAAAGTTACCTATCTTCGAGGCGCCAGCGTCAATGCTGTTCTCCACTAATTCTTTAACGGCAGAGGCGAGAGATACAACTACTTGGCCTGAGCATATCTTGTGGACAATAGCTTCGTTAAGTGGTGAAATCCCAGTTGTGCGCATGGTCTAAGACAAAAGGAAAATAAAGGAAAGTAATAAATGCAAATCGTTAAAAACTGTTATATTAATAATGAGAAGTTACATCCATAGTTGATACATAATATTTGTAAAAGAAGTACCATGATCTCTGGTAGTTAGCAGGGGAAAATACGTCTTCCGTCATGGTTTATTAGTGCCTTTAGATGAAATGTTTGTGAAACAGCACTTCTGGGTTTGTTTCACGTGCCTGCGTTAACAGAAGGCAGCTCGATTTGTCGGGAACTCGTTAAACAGCTAGCAATGGTCCTGAAATAGTTCGCCATAGTAGGTATCCAACAAAATCTAAGTTGGACGAGGTATAAACTGCAGAGGATTCGCACGCCGATTGGATGATCCTTCTTGGTAAGAAACAAATAAAATAATGCGGTATGAGATGATAATCCGTACATAACATGCTGCGTCACACTTAAGTTTCAGGTATGAAGTAAACGGATGGCCGAAGCTTGAACCACTAAAGACAGTGTAGGGCGCTGTACAGGTTAGAAATCATCATCAACAGCAGTACATCAGCCATTTGAACTGATGCTTCGCTGCCATATAACCATGAGGACCAATGAAATAAAAGAGGGAGAGAAGGGGGACGTACCCGAAAACCTTAATGCCTTAAGCAAACATTCAGGGTCAAGGCGAATACACCTTGTGTTAACAACATACTGTCACAAACACCTGGCTATCGTGTAAAGATAAGGCGGCATCGGCGAGACAGCTTCCTTGCGGGTTTCACTGCCACGCGTCATAATCAGCCATTACCCCGCAGATAACTCAGCACCAAACACACTGTACAGACAATCCGATTAGGAGACGGCAGCAGACGCGCCACTGGTGTCGGTTGCGAGCCATGTCCTGTAAAGTCTCGAGCCATGCAAAAGGCGAGTCACGTGGACTCCATCCCGGAAGGCGAGACGGACAGTGACTTCATTTTCCGCTGCCAAGTCAACTTCTGTCAACCTCGAACCTTGCGCCACCCTACACCTGGCAGACTAAACAAGGCCCCCTGAGGTAAGCGGTGACCAGGCATACGTGGCACGTGCCCAAGCCAACGCAGCTTATTCAGTGCTATCTGTTGTTCTAGGGAGCTAGCTAGAAAGACGTGAGACAAATGTATAAGAAACCAACATGAGAGATACTAGTGTCCGATGTTCGTTCTATCGACAGACGTTAAAACCAACTTATACCAAACACACGGTTGCACACACCGTTGCTACAAAAAAGATAGTATTTCGACAAGTTTTAACAATTTCCAAAGTGTTAGAAATTTCGGTCATTGAGCAACGAATATATTACCCGGATTAATCGCCGTGCGGTTGGATTACTCGTTCACTCATGATGGGGGGACAGTGCGAACAATGAGTGCATTAACGGTGGGAAGAACAACTGAATCATTCAGTATCATAGATTTCCGGATTTGGGAGAACCCGTCGTTGGTCTTGTGTTGCGACACGCAATCTCAATTGTGGTCTCAGTTGACTTTGAAGTCAGCCTTGGCCAATACGATCACCGAGACTATCACTGAAGTGAAGGGTTTCGGTGTTGCTCCCTCCTATCTTTGCACTCCACGACGTGTTTCGTTCCTGCTTGGACTTATCAGATAGAAGTTGCGTGAGTTGGGAGTGGAGCTCAGTACATAGAGGTTTGCGGCTACCGCCATAACACACTAGAAGACATGGCCCGCAACCGGAATCAATGGAAGAATTGTGTACAGTATTGTATTGATTCACATGTTTAATACTACAAACATTAAACTGACAAAAAATAGCAAAAGCGGCATGTGAAAACAAACTAAAAATGTTTTGTTCCACTTTTTGTCAAAATGTTCCATTCTTCCTGCGGCATATTAGTTGAAGTGTGTTGCTCACCTTCAACTAGCATGTCACGGTGATTATGACGCGATGGTTCTTGCTTATCTCCTAATCTCTATGGTTTTATTCTGACTCTATGTCTAGTTAATAGACTGTTGAGGTTACTTACTTACTTAATAGGCGGTTGAGCCCCGCGAGCAGCGCCTGATAAAGAAGTTTGTTGATTTTCGAGTTTAGGAGCACTCGCCGTCAAGGACGCGAACGGAATCCACCTTGCTCCTCCGCCATGTTCGGTTCAGCAACCTGGGTGACGAGGCGGTTAAGCAGAATTCGGAAAATCACTTTATGCACACAACTCAGCAGGTTGATGCCACGATGATTCGTGCAACACTGCTTGCTCTCTTTGCCCTTGTACAATGGTAGCACATGGACATTCTTCAGCCCGGTCGGCACTTCCTCTGTAATCCCCACGTTACACCAAGTGGTATAGTGCATTTACCAACGCGAGTCCACCGTGTTGCACCACTTCAGGCGGTATCCCATCGGCACCGGCACATTCGCTGTGTCAGCTGAGCAAGTGCTCTCTACGTCTCATCCACTGTCGGTGTCGGCAAGACACATCCTCATCTCTTGTTGTTGCAGCCCGTGCAACGTAAATCAGTCAATCTCTGAACGGTTGTTCACGAGACAGACTAAGTGTGCTCGCTAGATCAGCATTATGTCTGCAGTCTGTGTACAGGCAGCGACGGATGTAGTATATATATATATATATATATATATATATATATATATATATATATATATATATATATATATATATATATATATATATGTTTGCGGCTCATCAGTTGTAGGAGAAATGCAGAGAGTGACACCAGCCATTGTACCCGCATTTGATGAGGTGAAACGCGAGACACTATGACTGGTGTTGGGTACGTTTGAGTGTCTAAGTTTGTAAGTTTAATTGAATGCCTGCAGTGGTATGCAGGGGAGAGTGCGGCTCTGTGAACAAACTTCAGATGACTTTGCTGTTGTCTCTGGTGTGAAGCAAGGATGCGTCTTAGCCCCTGCCCTGTTTAATATTTACCTTCGTGCAATGATGTCATTCATTAAACACGCTAGCTGTAGGTGTAAAACAACTCAGCTATGGTGCTGCAATACAAAAGAAAAGAAAAGAAAAAAGTAAAACAGGCACGCCTGCTGAGTCATGAGTAACGGATGGACATCATTCCGGAGAGCTAACAGCCGGCTATTGTGCAGCTATAAGTCATATAATGTCTATTGATTGAAATCGTGGTTCGAAGAGGAAGCTAAGCGGAGGGGCTGGACAAAGGAACTAACAACACAAACGGCAATAAGATTTGCTCCTAGCCATGTCAACAAGTGTATCCAACCAAACGTGTTCATCGTCCATCAGTTCCCAAGCAGGGAGCAGAGAGGCTCCAACCGAGGCAAACTACGAAGGGCCTTCATTCCTACTGACCAAATCATCGCTTGGCCACCCCTCCTCTTCTTACATTCGCACCCCCTGCGCGCAAACAACACACGTCGCGGAAGTCGGTAGGTTGGCATGCACAACACGTGGCCTAGCTATCGGAGCCTGGTGGGTGAAATAACGGTGCTGAGCGGTTCGTTTCTTCATTCTGCGCCATAAACAAAAAGCCGAAGACGCTACCAGATGTGAGCCAAACTGCAAAGTCACCGGTAGTCGAACGTAACTAGCCTTTTTATGTCCGCTGATCTGAGGGGCTAGGTTTCACAACCGTACATTAGGGTTGGAAGTACGGCTGCATTGCATACTCTACCTTTCATGGAGAGAGTGATGTCGCGTCGGCGCCATAGGTGGTGAAGGTTAGTAAAAGCACCTCGAGTTTTTGCTATACGGTTTGTGACCTCATCAATTCCAACGGCGCTGATACAACTACCTAAGTAGTTGAGCTCTTGAACGACTTCTAGCTGATCCCCACCAAGGGTCAGCGCAGGAGGCGGCCCCTGCCAATCTTGAAGGAAAGCTTTGCACTTGCAGAGTGCAAAGCATAGCCCGAAACGGGTGACAGCCAGTGCTAATCTGTGCAGTGCCACTTGGCACGTTTGGGAACTGTCACAGAGGAGGGCAATATCATCCGCACACTCCAAGTCAAGAAGTCGTTCACCTGGGAGCAGCTTCACACCTAAGTCGTGTCCTGTGAACGCGATCTCCATACCTACGTTAATAGCGAAGTTGGACAAGAAAGGTGACAGAGAGCATTCTTTTCTTACACCACTGAAGAGATTGAAGGGCGGCGACAACTTGCCGTAAGCCCTCACTCTGCTCGAGGTACGCGAGTAAAGCGCACGCGTAATATTCACATACTTCTCGGACACACCTTTCCTTAGCAGATATACGTCGATCCACCGAATCCAAAGCACTTTTGATATCGAGGAACGCGACAACGGTGGAGCCCTAATAAACATGGCGGTGCTCCAACATCTGACGTAATGTGAAGATGTGGTTGATGAATCCCCGACCAGGACGACACCCGGCTTGATCCTCACGAATCTGGCTTTCACGGTCGCCAGTCAGTCTGTGAAGGATTACAGAGTCAAGAAATTGGGGGATGAAGATCATGATTGCCGAATTCTGAACGCCAGTCTCCTTTGTAGATGGCGAAAATAAAACAGCCGCTCCAGTCGGTTGAGAGTTTCCTGCTCAGTTTCACTAGTAAGTCGTCAACAAGAGCAGGGCCGCCGAATTTAAGGAGGGCTGGATGAAGATAATATGGTCCCACGGCTTTATTCAACTTCAACAGTCCGATCTCAAGTTCGACTTCCAAGTGAGAGGGCGGATCCAAAGGCACAGCCCAGGGAGCAGGGCGATCAGTGGTCGATGAGGAATGTAACAACTCATGTCGTTTAAATTGCTTTCCGAAATGTTCAGCCCAAGGATAGGTTGTTCACTCTCGTAAGGTATAGTTTCACTAACGCCAGGTCTGTTTCCGGTTTTCCGTATCAGAAGGAACAACTTCGGATGGTTACCAAGGGCAGCGGCTACTTTCATCTCTGACGCACGACGAGACCACCACGCTTCATGGTTTCCCTTCAGGCTAGCACGGAGTTTTGCCCAGATGTCTTTGCGAGTTTCGTGTTCATTTCCAGCCGGAATGTGCAATTATGCCTTGTGCCCTTGAT